ACCTTTGTAAGGGTATAGCGTGTATTACAAAACAAATCCATAGATAATGCATCTGTGGTTTTAGAAATGCAAAACAATTTTCAAAAAAGTACTTGACTACACGTTTCTTGATTTGGCGGTTATTGAAATTCACTGAGTTTCCCTACAAAAGCTGAGGGTTTAGAGATGGCACGCTGATGCCAGTATGCCATTAACCCGTGAAAATTGCGTCATTTAACCGCATCATTTTGGTATCTGCAGAAAAAGATTAAATGTACACAAAAAGAAGTGAAAAGCAGTAAATTAAATACTATAAAATCGCCTCGGAGCAAATGATTAGTAAATTTTTAGTGAAACTCCTTTGACCTGTTTCACAGCACGAATTAGTGGGCGTTGATGAGAAAAAATGTTTGAATAATAAAAAAAAATAGCTTTGGTGTGAAACGGACAAGTAAGGAAAACTATAAATAAGAGTTTTGGCGCTTTTAGATTTGAAAATAATCTTGTGATGTATATGAGATTATGTGTATTCCGATTTCGTTTATTAGCAATAGTCGCAAAGAATAGCTAAATAAGTATTTTTTTTTTTAATTTTCGCGCTGTTCTTGTTCTTCTTACTTGGCATATGCACCGATTAGGCGATTATAGCCAAAACTACGGTTGGGAAAACAATTTATCACACCTTCGTGCACAGTAGACTTGGGTATAGAAAGGTAAAAGCGAACTGTATTCTTCTAAATAATGAAAACTAAGATAATATCAGCTATTCGTCAACTTTGACATTAACTTAACCGCAAATTGGAAGGAAAAAGAAAGAAAAACAATTTGAAAAGATACCAAATTGGGGGAAGGCATCGCAAATAAGCGATTAAAAAACCAAGTTGTGACAATCAAACTCACAAAAGCAAAGATTGCTAACATAATTGCGGTGATTATCCGAACCGTGGGATAACAAAAAGACGTGAAAAGAAATTAAACTTTACTGAAAAAAAAATGAATTCATTTAAAAAACTTGTCACCATTAGAATATAATATGTAAAATAGAATTGAAAAAAAGAAAAAAAAGACTACAATAAAATAAGTTAACTTAAACTGAATAAAACAAATAGAATTTAATTTTAATAGAATAAAATGCAATACGGTAATAAAATAAAAATAAAATTAAGTAAAACGAAAACAAAATATATATTGAAAAATATATAAAAGATTATAATAAAGGAAAATCAAATAGGGTAAAATAAAAATGAAATAAAATAAAGCTAAATTAAATAAAATACCATATAATAATAAAACTGTATTTAAAATGAAATGATTAGAAAGTTAAAATAATTATAAATACTTTATACATGCATACATGCGTATGTAGCCATATTTATGTACCGATTTTGGGAGTTAACTACCTGCCTCAATGTGCGATTACGATCTCTTCGTAAAACTAATTCGAACTAAGCTTACTGTGGCGGACCCTATATATAGACGTCGCCGTAAATACCTACACAAAAAACTTAAAATATTCGTTTTCATTTTCATTCTTATATTAGATAACGATAATTCACCTAATGTTAAAAAATTGCATTTAAATTTAAAAAAAATCCACACAACATCAAAAAGAGGATATACGAGTATCTAACAAATATTGTAGTAAGTGCTAGATTTAAGGAGACATAAGATCAATGATCGACATTTCATAGCGTAATTGTTTCGCCGCAGTCAACATAGATTCTCTTATACCCTTGCTCTCAGAAATACATTTTCATATTAAATGCTTTTAATTACATACGAATTTCGTGTATTTTCAAAAATTATTTATTTATTCATGAATATCTATTTTGTCTCCTTCAAAGTAATCCTCATGAGATGTTATACACTTGTGCCAACGGTTTTCCCAATCTTCGAAGCACTTCGAAAAATCATTTTTTTTTATCTTGTTCAACTCCTCCTTCGATGCCGTCTTTATCTCGTCAATCGCAGCGTAACGAGTCACAGGGGGCCAGATCTGGGGAATACGGTGGCTGCGGCATCATTAGTGTGTTATTTTTGGCCAAAATGTCACGCACAAGGAACGATGTGTGAGCAGGGGCGTTGTCGTGGTGCAAAAGCCAATTTTTGTTCTTCCAAAAATCCGGGCGTTTCTGGCGAGTTGCTTCGTGCAAATTGCGCATAACCTTTCTACCCTGTGGCAAGAACTCATGATGCACCACGCCCTAGCAATTAATTTTTTCGTCTGTTGTTGAAGTGCTCGGGCGTCCGGCACGCTCTTCGTCGTTCGCATCTTCTCGGCCTTCTGAGAACATTTTGTACCACCGATAAACTTTGCTTCGGTCCAAGGTAGCTTCTCCGTATGCCACAGTCAACATTCGGAATGCATCCGCGCACTTAATTTCGTTTTTCACACAAATTTTGATACAGGTTCTTTGATCCATTTTACAGAATAGGTAAAAATCAAAGACCATCCAAAACACGAACAAGCGAAGCAGCTGTCAACAATTAGGTGAACATTCAACATGGCCGAGCTTGTCGGCATAAGTGACAGACATGAGTACCAACATAACGCCACAAAAAAATCGAAATTCGATTATACGTAGCCCGCGAAAATTCAAAATTAGCGGTACTTTTTGAACACGCCTCGTACAGTGTTTACTATGTTGTAAGACACACAAAGGGGAAAAAAGTGCTGGAAACGCGCGCATTAAAAGCAGAAGATTTTGTGAATTTTTTTTTAGTTTAGTTACATTATGTCAGCAGAAAAGCTTTATCGCGATAAAATCGGACAACGTAGTCGTGAAAAATATGAGCAATCTAGAGTTGAATTTTTTGTGTTGGAAAATTGCTTAATTGGTGTCTGTACAAATTTGTGTACAGAGAAGACATTTCTCAACAAATTAAGCCCATTTTTTTCATATGACACAGAAATAACTATTTATGCAATTAATTCCTGTCTTAAAATAATTATGCTATATATTTTTCGACCTTTTTTTCAAGTTTTTAGCGTACAAACGTCATATTAACAGGCCTATTCTCGCTGTTACCGGTAAAGTAAATTTTGTTACTTTTCTTTGTCACCCGAAATTGAGTTTGGTATTCTGGCGAACTGGTTACAATAATTGACAAAAATTTGGCAGCACTGCTTTTTTCGTTGTTGTCAAATTATATTTGCCCGTTGATAAAGTAAAAAGAAAAATATTCACATCAAAATGTAAGATGGTGCACAAAAAAAATTAAAAAGCTTTAGTAATTTGTTTATTAAATCATAAATATTTGAACCTAATTATGGAAAATATGCCTGGACAACAAAAAAAAAGCTGAATGAAAACGTTATCTTACAAATCAAAGTGCTAATTTTTAGCTTCGAAAACTTCTTAAAATATGGCTTTTTGCACTTTTTTCTTCATCTTCAATGTACTCCAGGCTTAATACATATATACTTACCCATTTTGGTGTTTTGTTTTTTCTCAAACTTACAACACAAAATCAAACAGCAGATATTTTTGTTACCTCCTATTTCGCTGGTAACAAAATTCACAGGGTAACAGTGAGCTGAGAATACCAAATGGTAACAAAATTTACTGAGTGGTAAATTTTAATACCTAGGTAAATTTTGTTACCTCGACAGAATAGGCCTGTAAGCAAAACCTTTTTTTGGGAAAAATTATCAAGTACAGCTCCCCAAGGTATGATGACCTTTTATAAAGCAAATGGAGCCGAATTCGCCAGTTGAGTCCTATTGTACATTTAGACTAATTTTCAAAATAAACTTTGGAATAAAGTAAATTCGCTTGGTGAGCCTTGATTGGGTCTATTGCAATAAAATGTTCAAATTTTTCCATAAAATAATAACTTTTTTAAGATTTAGGTCTACGAAGTCCCGCTTCACCTTCAACATCAAATTATTAGTGTAGCATACTTTTTAGACGATTTTAGTCTCGAATTTCATATCTGAAAAATCGGTTGTAAAAAGGATATTAAATATATATATATAGTCTTCCGATGATTTTCAGTATAAATATTTAAATGGAGTTATCTATGCGGAACGGCAAATTTTACGCTCTCCACTATTTTTTTGTCGAATTTATTACCCATAACCTAAGAATCTGTTACATATTTATTTGTTATAGTAGCAAGTGATCAATACCGTAAAAAAATACGTCTACTTATCAAATTTGATGGAAATATTTCCGAAGTTAAAAGAGTAGTTTGTCTCCTAGCAGAAGGTATAAATATTGCTGGGTGTTCTCCCTCTCGTCCTTATTTAAAAAAAAGCATACAAAAGATGAAGTTTATCGGTGAACTTTATTAGAAAATCAAAGAAATTCCGCGTTAACTTTTATAAATTTTTTTAAAACAAAAATGATTTTCTTTATTGAAAAAATTCGCTAAATTTAAGAAATGCTGAGTCCTGGCTTAGGGAGCAAGTAACTACAAGAGTAAATAAAAAAATTTGCAAAAGATCCGATTCCTCGAACGATTAAAAAAAAGTTCTCTTTAATATATGAATTCAAGTTAATTAATTACGAGTATTCAATAAATAAAAAGCTGTTTAGATTGAATTGAGTAAATGTAAATTTTGGTGCATTCTCTCATCTCTCACTAGCACACTCTCTTTTTATTTTTGGCGACTAACAAATGGTAGACGATCGTGCAAGCGAATTCATTAGTGACGACTGGCGAAAATTTTAAAACAATGTGGATTTAATTGTGATTCCAGGAAGCAAAAAAGTATACTTTAAGAGAATATATTTGAATGTGCATTTATACGAATATGATGCTTGGCCATGGGAATCAGCATACTTCCGTGTTTAGTGAGTTTGTGTTTTTACGTGCATAATTGATGCTTGCGCGAGCTGATTAATTTCAGAAAATATTTTCAAATTCCAAATAAATTAGATGTCTTTTTTTGATGTTCACGTAACGGTCATACTTTATAAGTATATAATTATTATAAATTACACTTAATAGGTTCTCTATACTTCCGAAAAGGCTAAAGAAATACCTCTAAATTTGTTTGCTCTTATAATTTCCAGGCGGAGATGAACCAGTTGGAGCACAGATACCATCAATGTTTCTGAATTTCATTGGCAGCAGTATTGATTGGCGCTATACCACCGAACCAGAAAGCAGTGCCTGCCTAGGTTCTGAAGGACGTCGTTGTACATGGCCCCGTGGCAAGGTATTAGGTGGTACATCTGTACTAAATGGCATGATGTATATACGTGGAAATCATGAAGATTACGATAATTGGGCTGCAATGGGAAATCCCGGTTGGTCGTATGAGGACGTTTTGCCATTCTTTATGAAATCAGAAGACAATTTGCAGTTAGACGAGGTGGACAAAAATTTGCATGCAAAGGGTGGACCGCTCCCGGTTTCACACTTCCCCTACAATCCACCTTTGGCTTATGCTATTTTGAAAGGTGGTGAGGAGATGGGTGAGTTGTTTCATTTGTTTATAAAAATCATTAAAACAAAATGAAATTAAAATCTGCAGTGCAAGACTATCCCAATGTTTTATTTATTTTTGTAATGTTAACATTTCTAGGCTATGCAGTTCAGGATTTGAACGGTCACAATTCCACCGGTTTCATGATTGCTCAGATGACTGCTCGTAATGGTATACGTTGGAGTTCGGCTCGTTCCTTCTTAAGACCTGCACGTAATCGCAACAATTTGCACATTTTACTCAACACTACCGCATCGAAGGTACTCTTCAAACCCGATAGTAAAACTGTGGTTGGGGTGGAAGTAATTGATCAGTATGGTAGTTCGCGTAAAATATTCGCTAAGAAGGAAGTGATTGTCAGTGGTGGAGCAGTGAATTCGCCGCAAATTCTTTTGCTTAGCGGTATAGGGCCAGCTGATGAGCTCATGAAGGTATAATAAAATACAATTATTTACATTATTTTATTAATTCTATCCCTTTATATTATTGTAAACAGGTGAACGTGCGACCTGTTCATAATCTTCCCGGCGTCGGCAAAAATCTACATAATCATGTTGCCTATTTCACCAACTTCTTCATCGACGATACAGATACGGCACCACTAAACTGGGCGACTGCTATGGAATATCTACTCTTCCGTGATGGTCTAATGTCTGGCACTGGTATTTCAGATGTCACTGCTAAAGTTCACACTCGATACGCTGATGAACCGAACTTGCCCGATCTACAACTTTACTTCAGCGGTTATACAGCTAGCTGCTCGCGGACGGGTCAAGTAGGCGAGTTGCTTTCCAACAATATGCGCTCAGTACAAATATTCCCTGCTGTGCTCCATCCAAAGTCACGTGGGTCCATTACACTCGCATCTACTGATCCTTTGGCACCGCCACGTATTGTCGCGAATTATTTGACCGATGATCGGGATGTGAAAACACTTATTGAAGGTATTAAATTTGCTATAAAACTATCGCAAACAGCACCACTCAAACAGTATGGCATGCGATTGGATAAGACAATGGCGACAGGTTGTGAATCACTGACATTCGGCACAGATGCGTATTGGGAATGCGCCGTAAGGCAAGATACTGGACCTGAAAATCATCAAGCAGGCTCTTGTAAAATGGGTCCCATCAGTGATCCAATGGCGGTGGTGGATCATGAATTACGAGTACATGGTGTGCGGGGACTGCGCGTCATGGATACGTCAATAATGCCACAAGTGACCAGTGGGAATACGCATGCGCCAGCGGTAATGATCGCCGAGAAGGGTGCATATATGGTGAAGCGTGCCTGGGGTGCTAAGGTTTGACGGATAGATGCAACGTGGACGCTGCATAGAGTAATTTAAAATATACATATATATATTATATGATACAAATTTATCATTCTTAAGAAAATAGTTGGTAAAAATGCAAAAAAAAAAATGTGTGAAAAATTCATCATTAAATTATTATTAAAATATTCGTAGAAAAAATTATTATTCAAGAACTTTAACCCAACATACTCTTCTAGGCTCCAAAACAATTCTTCAGCTAATGAAGTAAACTATTTTATTTATATTAATTTGCTACCTAACCTCCAAACTATTTAGTTATCTGCTACAACTCTTTGCCGCGCTTCATCGTTGCCTGATCACTTTTATTCGTTAAGTCCCAAACATCAGGGAATATTAAATCAATTTGTTAAAATATATATTTTTTCAGTTTCTCAGTTGAGATTACAATTTTTGCGTGCTTGAATGTTGCTTATTATAAGCTCTGTTCGGTGAGAAGTGTCAATAAGATTTAGCCAGTATCGAAATGTCAAAAGTGCGCTCTCTCGGAGAAAATTTTTTAGTGGTTTTTTGTGGCTTAGTAAAATTCAGTAACAATTGTTACTGCCTTTTTGCTCATCGAACAGAACTATATATATGCATAAATAAGAAACTTTTTAACTATTTACATTTTTCATTCAGAATTGAAAATTGTTACTGAACTGCTTTGAACTATATGCACTTGAAAAAAAAAAAACGAAGATCTTATAATTTCTTCTTATTATTATCTAATATATACAATTTTGCAGAATTAAATGACTAGAAAAAACAGGAAAATCCCAAGTCAACGGAGATCCAAACTTACCTAAATACATATAGGATTAAGTGGAACATATTCTGAGAAGTTGGGATCGAAGACAAAATTTTGAGTTTTTAACAAACCCAGTAAATGTCAAACAAACATATGAGCTTGGTCATACAAAATAAAATGAAAACAATTCAATATAAACTCTATATTTCATTTCTAGACAATAAATTATAGACTCGCAATAATGCAATGCTAGGATTTTTTCGAATTAATTGTTTTTTGAAGCACTTCAACAACCTTTCCTTGTGAAAATTATAATCGAGTTTGTTTTTAAATAATCATCTTATTTAAACTACTCAATATGTACATATATGTATCAATGTATTCCACTTTCTAAACGACATTTCTAAAAATGTTTGTATGAAAACTCCTTTATATTTTCCTTGACACAATAACACTATATGTAAAAAAAATAGATTATCTATTGTAAGTAAATATATGAGAATTAAAAAAATATTGAATTAAATAATATTTACGTATGTAGAAATGGAACATCCGTAAAATCGTCTCAGATTTAAATTAAAAGGTCGAGCTGTTTATATATCGGCCTGTCTCGCATAATGTACTTAATGAATACATAAAATTATGAACATATAAATAAACGCATATGTATGTATAAAATATATAAACGAACAATTATTGTACAAGAAGATGAAGGGTTTGGGAAAAAACTGATATATGTACCTCAAGATCAAAGTTACATACATTTTAAAATTTACATATTAGTTTACATACCGCAAACAATATTATACAAATAGGGTAAAGGAATAGATAGGGTTAGGTAAACTGAAACTTCTTTAACGGTATCAGTATATATTGTTTTTTTATTGCATGCAAATAATCCAAGTATGCATACTTTTTCAATAGCCTTTTATTGACAGATCACGGGTGAGTCGTGTCAAGCTGTCATGTTTCAATATTGGAAAGACTTAAACCTCAACAACGTTTACAAATCGTTCAACTTTATTACCAAAATTCACGTTCTGTAAAGATTGTATTTCGCGCGTTTCGCTCATAATCGGCTTACAGAGCGGACTATTCGCAACACCAACATTCACTATTGGATAACATTCAACCGAATAAACCACGTCCAGCACGCAGTGAAGAAAATATAGCAGCCGTAGCTGAGAGTGTACACAAAGGCCGTGAAGAGTCGATTCGGCGCCATTCGCAGCAACTCGGACTGACATATGAATGACTTGGTCGGGATCTTAAATTCAAAGCGTGTAAAATACAGTTTGTGCAAGAATTGAACCCGCTCGACCTTTCTAAGCGACATCGTTTCGGTCTATGGGTTCTTGAAACATTCCAGGAAGAACCGTCGTTTTCGAGCCAAATTTTTTTCAGCGATGTGGCCCATTTCTGGCTTGATGGGTACAAGCAAAATTACCGCACGCAGAGCAACATGAAGAAATTCAAGAGCTGACAATTTCATCCCGAAAAAAACAACGTTTTGTTGTGGATTGTAGGCCGGTGGAACATTTAAAACTGATAACAGACTATTTGATGCCTGAAATTGAAGCACATGATCCCGGCAACATTTGGTGTCAGGCACCACTTCCCATTTATTGCTTCAATCAGTGGATTTATGGAGAGAATATTTCGGTGGTTTTAGGCCGCTCGATTGGCCACCAAAATCATGTGATATCACATTGTTAGACTTTTTACTGTGGGGATGAGTAAAGTTTAAAGTTTATGCGGTCAATCTCGCTTCTATTCAAGCCTTGGAGCAAAACATCACCCGTGTCAGTTGCTAATTACCAGTCGAAATGCTCGAACGAATCACCGAAACTTGGATTCAACGGAGGAACCATATGTGAAGAATTCTCTTCGGAATGATAAGTAACATTCCTCATTAAAGTTAAATTTCATATTTTTTTTCTTAGAAAATTAGGGAAACTTGAAATGCTTTACCCTTTATGTTCTAGTATTCATCGCTAGCGTACCACAGTTCCTCTCTCACTAGGTATAATCGAAAAATTCATCATCTACAATATGGATTTTTTTTTTGGTATTTTTGGAAGAGAAATTCGTCCCGTGTGTAAACTCGATAACGGTTTTCATGCATAAGCAATTCACCGAAAAATTTAAAAAAAATTACATTTGTATTTTGCTTTAGAGTGTATTTACGCCAAACCCAGAAAGAAAGCTAATTATTTTAAATATATATACATATGTATATATGCATCACGCAATGCTAACCCCTTGGCTATTGCTATTTCTAATTATTCCTGAGAAATGATAGCTTCAAATAGAATAAATTAAAAAAATACCTAAAACCCCTATTGTCTGCTATTTTCATACACAGAGTCACCGAACAGAACTATTATCTTGGTGTTATAAGTCGACCGTTATTGTAATGACAATTTAAGCTGAAAAATTAAAATTAATTGAATAACTCCGGAGCTGGAAATTTGAAAATTAATTGAATAACTCCCTACTTTATACAAATAGTAAACAAAAATCTAGAAATAATTGCAAGTATGTTTTACTATTAAAGTTAATTTTCATAAAAATAAAGAACCAAAATAAAAATCTTTTCGTGGCCTGGCACTACATAATTCCAAGATAAGCTCTCTTCGCTGAGAAATTTCGGTAAAAATTAGCCAGTAAAGAAATGTCAAAAATTACACTCTCTTTGTTCAAATTTTACTGGCTTTTTGGGGCACCAAACGGGATTCAGTAAAAATTTGTGACAATTATTGCTGCCCATCAACTCACCTATCAGACTATACTCTGTAAAGGAGGAATCCTTTAATCTCCAATAAATTTGTGCAAACTTTCAATACATAAGGCCAGATATTCAACCATCTCTCGAATCATATTTGAAGGTTGGTGTTCTCTCTATGTATTAACTTTTGCAAAATTTCCCTAAATCTATAAATGTCGCTTCGAATTTAATTTATCCTTATTAGTTGAACTTTTTAACTCAAAATCTGTAACACATTTAAATGGTTTGTGTTAAATCACAGGCTTAAAGTTTAAAGTCCGGCTTAAATTTGTCTTTATTTTTAGACATTCATTTCAACGGGGAGCTCAAGACTTTAAGAGGACCCTCCACTGATATTGGGCGTAGTTTATATATCTTTTTTTTTGTGGGAGAATGAAAAGGCGTACGAACTTCCGGTTTTGACTATTAAATTTGTTTATTATTTGATATTTTAAAAAAATTGTTGAAATTTCCTTTCAAAAATCGTTGTGATTGCTTGAAGATCATGAAATTTTCTACGTCCAGAACTTCAATTGAATTTTAACAATAAATTGAATGTATAATCATTGTAATTAAAAAGTTAAATTTTTTGCTACTTTTTTCATTTCAATTAGGTTAACAAAGTATAAATAACTAATTATTGATGTTAATCTTAGGTTCAAGACGTACAAAAAATAATATACTCTGAAACAGTTTTGAGATAAAAGAAATCGGACGGATAGATCAAGCTCGGGGCTTCAAGTTAGATCGGAAAAACGCGTTTAAAGTTTTTTGAAAGTTTGCCTTGCAAAACCTTTGAAACACATACTCTACAAATATGTATGTGGCTTTAATTTTTTACGTTAAAAAAAACGATTTTTTGATCCCAAATCAGGGGAGGGTCCCCATAATCGAAAGATCTGAAGCAGCTCGAGAATTTTAATAACAAGCACTCATACACATGTTTTATATTTGTTTTTCACGGGTTCAAATTCCCGTGCGACTACCATCCAAAAGTTATAGAAAATTAATTTAAATAAAAAATTTAGCTTGCCCCTCGGTAGGGAATACCCACCCCTCTGAGTGTTTTTCTGACATGAAAAAAGGGTTCCTCATAAAAAAGAACATCAGCCGTTCGGGGGTGGCTTAGTATAAACTGTAGGTCCCTCCATTTGTTGGAAAAAAACATCAATACGTAAAACCACAAATTGGAGAAGGAGTTCGGCCGAAAATCGCACAAATTATAGTATATATATTAGCTTTTACTTCATTCGGTTTCTTTACAAATGTTATTGAAAGCTTTTGTGTTGCATCTCTATTTCGATATTTTGAGCAATTAGACTAACTAACATTTGAGCAAATTTGAAAGCGCTTCTTTTTTTTTTTGTTTTTTTTTTTTTTTTTGAAAATCTATAATGTAAAAATTGTTGTATGGAAAAAATTGTGAACGGTGTGATGCTATATTATGGGCGTTTGTTATTTCACGTTAAACAAATAGTACATATGTACATATACCCACGCGAAAATGCAAATTTGCATTTAAAAACCTAATCACAACTCACGTGTGAATAAGAATTTAACTGTTATTCCGTGACTACTTAAAGCATATCACTATTATTACTAAAATAAATAATAAACAATATTAGATATTTATATAAAGTCATTTAAGTCATTACTATAACAATGCATAGTAAACCGATCCAATCATGTGTATATATGATATGATATATATCTGTTTATAAAATATAAGTGCTTCCTCGGTTATTTGGATTTATAATTCCGCGAAAAAATGTTCCGAAAAGCAGTATGCATAAAACTTCCGCTCTTGCTGATATTAGTTTATTATATTGTGGCATCGATACAAGATCATGCCAAGGATAATGGTGATATTTATGTGCAGCACAAGCAAGATAGCAAATGTTTTAATAATTTAGAAAGAGAAGCAAATGCAACAATTCCTCTACAAATATCAAATAGTACCGGAAATGAGTTGGAAGACGTGGTGCGACTATGTAATAGCAGCTTCTCAATACCAACTGGTAACTTTATGGACATCAGGAATAATAATTTGTGTAAAAAAATAAGAAATTTAATCATTAATTTCATTCAGATCATATTATGCAATTTAATACGGATGGTGCGCTCGCAGATACAGTCGATAAAACTGGCATGGTAAAAAACGGTATTTTAATGTTACACCAAACGTGCTCATATATACATACATATAATATATATATATAAATACATATAATATATATATATAAATACATATAATATATATATATATATATATATATATATATATATATTTACATATATGTATGTATACGCACATATCCCTCAGTTAAAAAGTGTTAAAAAACTGCTTACAGTTTGAAAATGGTATTGCTTAAGCATTTTCAGAGACAAATTGTGCATACCACTATATACATACATATATACATATGTATATATTATTTTTCTCGTTCTTGAAAAAAAAAACTAATTTATTTCTGAGTATTTTATCAATCGGAAAGACAAATTCGAATATTCTTTTTTTTCTTTTTTTTTACAAAAAAACTCATGATTCAATAATTAAGGATTGGATAAGTAGTGCCAGGGGTGATTTGACACTCCCTTAAAAATGGTTGCATTTTGGAAAGTAGTAGAAAGAAGGAGAAAATATGTGCCAAACATAAACATAGGGAAAAGGTCTGAAAAAGGTGTTAAAAATTAAGAGAAATATTAGGTATTTTACATGGTATTTAATTCATTTTAAACACGGATTTTATACCTTCAAAATAAAAATAATATGTCTTTATGAGTATTTCCTAATCATATGTCAAAATGATATAAGAATCAATCTATACTGTAAAAATGAATGGATGTGCAAAATTATAAAATTATAAACAGTAAAATCACTTTTAATTGGTTAAATTAGAACAATTCGTATATTTAGCAAAACAAAATTTATTTTAGTGATTTAAGTCCCTCTCAACTGGTTGATGTCCTCGCTAAACTAAATGCTAGCAGCACCGCCGTCCAAGAAGTACGATGGATGGGGCAAGAACGGAAGAGGTGGGACCTTATGACACATACTACAGCGGCAACATAAAGAAGCGCAAATTTGGTGCCGTACTTGTGGTGGGGGATTGACCCCGTCATCGATTACTGATGAACGTCTCGCCACAACCCACATCAAAGCTAAGTTTTTTAACACAACGTTGACTCGCGTCCACGCTACGACGCAAAAGAAGGACAATGGACAAAGGATAACTTCAATAAGCACCTGTAGTGTACACACCACTACGCTGTGCTTTGCTTCTTCAACGTCAGGGTGCGCAAAGATAATATCTGAGCCCGAAATATAGTTGTCTATAGTACTCGAATCCAGCACAAAAAATTTCATCAAGGAACTTATTTTTCTCCAAATCGAAAAAACCATATCGATCATGAGGAGGCCACATCGACTCAGACTACTATCTTGTAGCAGCAAAAAACGCTCTTCAAGAAACACAAAAAAAGTTCAAAGTCAAAAAGCTAAAATCACAACAGACAGCCGAACGGTCTTCTATTCGACTTACACTCCTGCTCTCAGAGACCAATGATCAACAAGTCGGTACAAAAAAACTGCAGGATGGAATTTCAAACTCGTTACATACTGCTGGAAACGAAACTATTGGTTATTAAAAACAGATGGTACGATGTGGACTGCCGTGCAGTAGTAGACCACAACATTTGCAGGGTAGGATAGATACCGAGAACTGAAAAGGGAATCGAGTATAAAGAGGTTGAGAAGCTGCCCGACAGGCTATTTGCTCAAAAATTCTACGAAAAGATACGGCGATTTACGGAAAGTTTCAAGACTGAAGGAAACTCTTGTATAACCCAGGGAGGTGAGCTGATGATGGATGCCCAGAGTATACTGAGTCTATGGAGGAACCACTTCTAAAGCCTGTTGAATGGTAGAGAAAATTAAACCTAATCGATGACGATGGAAAAGTCGTTACTCTACCCGAAAGCTCGAATAGCGATTGCGCGCACTTAAAGGGGCATACCTTACCGCGGGTAAATTCACGAGCCCCTAACCCGCAGATCACCGGCAAAACTATTCAAACATGGCGGTGACCAGCCATTGAAATCCATTTATCTGCAAAAGGCGTTTTAAATCACAATTATCTACCAACTTTAACGTGTGTACGATTCGCATATTCCACAATAAGAAAATATAAATAATTAAATGGTTGTCAAAATATGAAACCAATCAGAAAAGACTATGGAATGTCTACCAAAAGTTTTCATAAAAAAATTAAGTATTTAGCTACTTTTTAAAATTTGTTCCATTTTGTCAAGAGGAAGCGAGAAAACTGTTTAATTATCCAACCTTCAATTACTGAATCATGCACTTTACCGATCATTATGTTGTGCACATTGTTGTTTACTTTACTATGAAAAAATATTTCGTACACTTTTGAAATAAATAGACGAAATGTGTACGTATATACATATGTATATTTGCTCATCCATCTTACATAGACGTTGTATGCATACAATGTCCACTGAGTAGTTATACCTACTATATATACTTATTATATAAATATATATGTATATACATATATATATTTATGTAAATACAATATACATTTGTATGCATCTATGATAAAGCGAAAATTGCTTCGAAATTGCGATTATTAACATATGTTTTCTTATTACTCAATATATACTCAAACCTTGTGCATAAAACTACAGCTTCAAAAAAAAAAGAGATACCAAATTAGTGGCTTTTGAAATATAAATAAAAAAAACTTTATATATAAAATAACATTGGCAGAGTTTAAAAAAAAACTAAGAACTCTTTATTTAATTTATTATAATCTTTTTATATAAGAAACTTATTTACATTTACATAATACACGTTAAGTGTTTTATACGCTGCTACTTTGAAAAGTCGGGCTTGATTCAAAACTGGAAATTAAATAAAGACCAGATAGTACAAAAAATGTGGCCATTAGCAGCGGATTCTGTGGATTTTTGTGAATCAGAAGCAAGTAAGCATAAATTCTTATTTCAATGCCCGTAGACATTAACTGAATTTACCTTTTCTAAACTTAAAGAACAGGAAATGAATGCTTGTGTTCGCACCTACGCCATCGCAAAATGTCTAATGCAACGCCGTTTTGAAGGAACATGCAATCCGTCCGCCGTTTAAAAACCTGTACCAACACATCTTTTTATGTTTAAGTTTTATCGTACTTTTAAATATAAGACATAAACTTTCTATATATTTCTTTTACGTAGATATTCCGTTAGGATCTTCCCAAATTCTACATTCTCATAACTAAATTAAAAACAATGTTGATTTATTGTGCTTTATATTCAATATTTTGATCAAATCATGCTTTACTACATAGTAATATGTATAATGCTTGTACTTGATTTTCACATATTTACATATAAGAATATATGTTGCTCTCAAGATGGCGTATTCATCGTGTTGTTATAAAAACTCAAACAATTTAGTTAAAAAATATAAGAATATTAGTCGCGATTTGTCATAAATACATCTGTGTTAAATGGAAGATGTTGTAATATGTAATGCAATCTTTCTTTTTTTACAAGACCTTAAGCAGAAACAGATACTATAATATCACACAAATATAACAATCTAGTCAAGCATCATAAAACTAAATTTAAATACATTTTTTCACTTGAAGCAATTATAAATGTGATGATGCTACAATACGATGAAGTCAACGACCGTGTGAACATATTTTCATACCAATATATAAATTTTCATGATTCTTGTGGCTGTTGTTGTAATGCCGCATCAATTTCATTTACTATATTATCCTCTACGGCCTCTGGCCTACAAATAGTACTATAATTAAGCAAACGATTTAGCCGTTTTCCAATTTGTTTAGGATATTGTTGGTTTTTTATACGAAATTCTTTTGACTGGTGCTCCACAGCGCCATTGTCTATTTGGAATTTACATAATGTATGCAGTGGTCTTATTAACAATTGTCGTAGTTCAGTACGTCGCTCAAGAATTGATAAAGCTTGTGCCGCCGTTTCTAGCGTACTGAGACAGCCTTCGGTGGGTTGTGTTCGTATAATATAATCACTATTACCCGCAGCTATAAGTTTTACTTGTCGCATACGATGCAACATTGGACTGCTAGCATAAATTGCCTTTGCTTGTGGCCAAGTACCATCGATGAGTACTAAGGTAAAAGAGGCACTTTCAAAAGATAAATCTCCCATCGAAACTGATTGTGTATTTACACATTCTATAGGCACGGAATCTTTACTTGGATATAAGAGCAAAGAATTCGGTGAATTTAGTACAGGCTCCAACTCAGCTAAATTTTTTGATGATGGAAAACGCTTTCCCTTATACACAATACATTTTCCGGGTTCTAGTCCAAGTTGCAACATCAAAGCTGTGCGCAACGTGCGTTTTTCTTCCGCAGGATGTTGTAAAATAACGATGGAAGATTTAATATTTAGTGGCGGGTTTGGCAAAGATCTACACCAACAAACTACAACTGGACGTCTGCAAATGTTTTTCGTTTTATTGATATATTTTTTAAAACCAATAACAACTTACTTGCACTTATCACATTTATCACGCCTTTCTGGAGGATCAATGCGAATGCCAAATAAATCTTCACAACATTCTTCCAACAATTTATTCTCATTTAAATTATCCATTATAAATTTCAGAATAAAAAAAGACAATACCAGAATTATTCGAGTTTTGTTTACAAGAATTGACTGAAAGTTTTCTTGGTTTTCATCTCCCAAACAGCTGATGGGTAGCCCATAGAGAAACACAAAAGCAAATAAAATTACGTTTACATATCTGACATCAAGGCAAAATTACAAAAAAACAAATAACACAAAAACAAAAGTCGCTAAATACGCCACGATGATTTACCAAATCCATTAAATTCGATCACAGGATTGCTGAACAAACAAGTTGTTAGTTGGTGAAGCAACACAGATCTCTACTTATTAGAAAAACCTTGGCTACGAAACTAAAAAATGGGCTCATTCCAGTTAAAATCGCAATAATTTTAAATAATAGTGGTACAAATGAAGCTACTTTATGCAAATATTTTACTAATTGTTTTTTAATTAATTTCTCTCAAATCAAAGTAAATTTGTACTAAATGATCTAATGTATAAATGATTTTATGTGTATGCTGTCCTGTCCTCAATCCACATATGTACACACATATGCTTATATACTATGTATATATTGTTACGATTTTACTGAATCAACCTCGATTATTTTCTAGATCCTTCGGGTACGATCTCTGGATTGTTAAATAAAAACTCGCCAACTTAATTTGCAGTTTCTTTCGTTATAAAGATTCTATCTAATGTCCTTTATTTCCTCAGTAATTCACAATTCAATTATACTGCACTTTACTATTTATAATCACTAACATCAACTTTCACAATTTCCTCTACTTAAATGTAATTCCCAACGCGTTCACTTTACGTCTTCACTGATGTTAACGCCAACCAATTTGCTTTGTCACTGCCTGACTTGCAGCTGAGTGTCGCCTTTATATAGCAGTCGGCTGCTCGCAGACGAAAGCGTAGAAGCATCGAATTGTTCGCTATGGAAGGTTCTTGTGTTATCGGCTTCTCTCTTTCATCTGACATTCGCCTCGCATTTTCGCAACAATATCATATAAGTTCCTTGGTTAATATTGTACAATAAGCCAATTCAGAGAACGTATAACATATCAGAAAGATTGGGATATACCCACGAAACAACGGGTAAAACCTCTGCAAAGGTATTTTTTGTTAACTTTGTTAACCTAACGATTTCATATAGTAAATAAGACAGCAACAAACTCAGCGCCAGCCAGGCACAAATTGAACCCGTTAGTGACAACATCGGTATAGAGTACTGCACGGCATAGTAAACTGTGAGTTTGCAAAGAGTTGTACAGTTAGTAAACTAGGTGCTTAGAGGAAAATAATTTGTGTCGTCGCGTGCAGTAAATCGAATAGTTATTGAGTAATAAATAAATATTGAATATGCATGTTGCCGTCGTTTCCACGACCCTCGTTTTGGCTAACGATAACTTGACAGCCTGTAGCTTGTATTCTGGTTTAACTTTATTCATATTTGTTAGAGCGAAAAACAGCTGATGTTTAGGAAAGATAAAATAATTTTGTTGTTTTCAAGAAAGATTTGCGTTCTTTACTCTAGTTTTACTTAGTAATTCTTTATGATTTTTTTTTTATCCAATACATATTCTTTTACATTTATTGAATGGTGTATTAGCGAAAGTTGTTAAATAAAAACTTGACATTTTTTGATATTGTTTGCTCAGAGCAACTTTCTTCCTTATAAATCCGCAATGAATAGCTTAGGATGGACAATTATCATGAAGAGAGGTTGTCTCTTCTGTTCCAAAGAGACAGTGAACATAAAGGGAACAAAGTATATTATACGTGATCGACTTGCGCAAGGGTGAGAAATTGATACATTTGCAATTATTTATATATCTTTTTTTGTTTGGACTTTTACAGAGGTTTCAGTCTAATCGATCTGGCAGAAAATGCCACCACTCACAAATTATACGCCGTAAAACACATTACATGTCATAGCATCGAAGACCAAAATGTAGCATTGCGAGAAATTGAAAACTGTCGTCGTGTAGATTCAGAGAACGTAATTAAGGTTATAGACTATGAATTAAAAGGGTCGGCAGATATTGTCATTAATACCACAAGTGATCTGTACATAGTCCTGCCATACTATAAAAATGGGTCATTAGCAGATCACCTTTTGTTACGAGCTCGAAAAGACGATCATATGCCAGAAGCTCAAATTCTGCAAGTATTTTTAGGAATTTGCAATGGGTTAAGAGCATTACATGAAACAAAACCTGTACCGCTTGCACATCGTGACTTGAAAACTGCAAATATTTGCTTATCTGATAGCTTTGAACCTATCATTGTCGATTTAGGTTCTACGACAGAGGCACGTTTGCAAATCTGCGGGCAGAGTGAAGCGCAACGATTACAAGACGAAGCTGAAGAACGCAGCTCAATCGTGTACCGGGCGCCTGAACTTTTCTCGGTGAAATCCTATTCTACTGTAGACGAACGTACAGATATATGGGTTAATATAATCATTTAGTATTTAAAATCATAAAGTAAACCTTTTTTTTTGCAGAGCCTCGGTTGTGTACTTTACGCAATGTGCTTCTTTCACTGCCCTTTTGATGCTGTCTATGAAAAGGGTGATAGCGTCGCTTTAGCTGTATTAAGTGGGAATATCAACATTCCAGAAAATTCCATATATTCTGAAGATATGCATGAATTAATTAAATATATGTTACGTATGGATCCGATGGAACGGCCATTTATATATAGTGTAATCGAGAAAACACAAGATTTAATTCATAAGCTGGATGGACGTGTCTAGCATATTTCAGACGTGATCCAATTACTAAGCTTTTATAAATGTATAGGCTTTATTGACGAAGGCATGGTATTTTCGAAAACTATAAAGAGCCCCATTATTTAAAGAAAAAATACTAAATTATAGCATAATTGTAATTTTCTATATTTGTTTTTATAGCCTAATAATATTTAAGCCAAATAATTGTACCTTTGTGGTTTGATTTCTATACAAAGTAGTATCTCAATGATCGTCACGCATTTTACCTGGGCAATTACTATTCATATCTTCTTGATCTTTATACCGCACTCCACACCAGAAACAAAATAAATAGGCGGTACGTAAATAATTGGTTATCATTTCAAGTTTATCTATGGATGTAAAGACTTCATCATCATCGTCTGCTGCCTCAATGTTTTTTTCTTCATTCCCTTTTTCATCCGAAACGTCCTCATCCAAATACGACTGTCGCTCTGGCCAGAACCAGCTTAGTTCCGCTACTTCAACTCCGTTTTCCAAGTCAAGTGTTTCGCAAGATAGCTGACAACGTCTGGAATTTTATATCTAAAAATTAGTATAATAAATTACTATTTACATTTACAAACTTTAAAGCGCCAATTGCAAAACGTTCCTCAGCTTTTAGTTGGGCACGTTTACGAAACTGCTCTACTGAAACTTCTTCTCCTCCTAGCCTATCACGAATTTGTTTTTCTCGTATCTGTCGCCGCTTTTCCGATAAATCAAGTAAAGCTGCTTCGCGACCCAAGCCACCACGATCTGATTTAACACTAATAGGGATTGGTTCCAAAAGTCGCTTTTCTTCCAGATTACATGATCGCTTAGAGCCAAGTGCTTGTCCAGGTCTGTAGCCCATTTTAGCCAGCATTTGGAAACCTTTATTATGCTTTTCAATTGGCTTTTTCAAGGACTCCTCCAATGTTTTAGCATCTACAATTCCTTTGCGCAACCTACTTTCTTGCTTTTGTCGTTTAATGTGCTCTTTTTTCTGGTCCTCCAAGGCGAGTTCTCTTTTGCTCTTTGATTGCTGAACAAGACTCGGGCGGACGTCTCTGTAATGACACATCTTTGTAAAGCAAATAAACTAATTATATATCCTGCATATACCCGGAAAGAAATTTATCAGACATATAATCTTCTTCGTCAGACATTTTTTTATTATTGTTGTTCAAAACAAATATTTACATTTTAACAAACTATGTAAGTTGCCAACAGCATTTATAATGTTAACCCTGCTGACATTATTTTTCTTTCCAACATAATAGTCGTTTTCACGATGTGATCTATCATAAGTATTACAATGGTTTCAGCTTAATAGACCTGTACGACCTCCTATATCCTTTGAGTTCTATCTCCTAAACAATGGTTTGTTAAACGAAAGTTCCTAAATTTATGTTGGGCTTTATGAACCCAAAGTTTATTCTCATGTAAACACATAATTTAATCCGCTTCATTTTTAACATTAGAACACTACTGGAAGGTTTTCGATGATGCGCGCTAAAATATGCTTTTTTCAAGCGCTGCAATTCTTTTCAAATGGACCACCTTCCCTTGGTTCCTTGGTCTACCAATGGTCCCTTTCGATCATGTTACTTTACCATGTTGGGCATTTACGTTGCCGACCTAGATATGCCCTCTAACAGATTTATCTCTCAACTTCTTCTTCAGGGTATCAGTCAACTGTCTAGCATTCTCGTATTTTTTTCCGATGCTCGTGCTTCACCAAGGGTTCATGCTAACTCCCTGCGTTACAGCCTTTCTTCCTGTCTGGCGGAGTCCGTCGTACAGTCGAGGATGAACAATCCCGTTTTTCTACAGCTGTATCACTTCATGGCACTGATATTTTTGACGGCTGCAACACTATAATTTCTCTATGAATCTTACCGTTTCCCGCATCTTCGTCATCACATCTGTACATTCCACCTACAATTGGTTTGCTTCGTACGCAGATCTCGTGTTGGAGCGCACGAAACAGTTTCAGCAAATGTTGGCCTTAGATTCATCTACGTCTTTTGCTTGGTGCTGAATTTCATCATAACAAATCCTCCCGAAGCAGCATGAACTGGGATGAGTTGCGCGCTTTCTTGTCTTGTTGCTGTGATAATATCTGACGTGTGGTCGTCTGCATTTTTTGAAAATTTTATTACTGACATTGAATGCAATAGCACATTCATATATCTTTTCGCTAGGAGATTTTTCCTCAATATTAGTAGACAACTGCACTAAATCTTTCAAAGTTCCAATACCCTCTTCTCTCTCTATATCCTCCGTGATTGACTCTTCGTCTTCGTGTTGGCTGAAGTCAAAGCCTTCGTGTTCTATCCCTTGTTGCAACCATAATTGTAGCTTCAACTTTGCCAATTGCTTTTTGATTGGAAGTTTCGTAAATCACGAATCATGACCATCTACTTTTTTATCCTTCGTTATTCAATTAACTATTCCATTTCTGAAAAAAAATTAAATTAAATTTTCTAATTGCGTTCGTCCCTCGACAGAGAATGTCGAGCGTATTTCTATATATAAAGGATCCTCATCAAAAACCATCAGCCGTTCAGAGACGGCTTGGTGCAAACTGTATATTCCTCTATGATGTTGAATAACATCAAGACACATACCACAAATCGGAGGAGGAGCCCGACCGAAAATCGCTTCAGCAGTTACAAAGAGCCATATATAAAAAATTCATTTCTGACACCGATTGTAATGATTTTTACTAAATTAATCTCTATCTGAACTTCCACAAAATTGAGTTTGATCACTAGATTGATAAATGAAAGTCCCAAGTATCGTTGTTCGTTCATTGCAATTACATAGGTTAGGTATAATGTGTCTATATAACCTCCCAGTTTAATCTCCGGTAAACACCAGCTTACTCCATTTACCCCGATGTTGTCATTACCGATCTCCAAACTTAACTAAACATCCTGCAGTATTGGCCACCGCTCTTATATACCTAAATCCTTCTAGCATGGATATTTCGATAGAACATTCGGTACATGTGTTATAGAACATACTTGAGTTATGGGCCCCTGCTTCTGACCTTACATTCGTGTGTGGCATTTTCCACACAATATTATTGCACAAACTAAAGACCCGAGATATTTCTTTTTGTATTTTTGCCATTTTTTGTGTGATTTTACAATGGGAACTAAAAATTCACATCTGAATCATCGACAAATTTTTTTGACAAATCTAATTCAATTTAAGAACGTGGCAACCCTCAGAACGAAGGCACGTGTGGTACTCCCTGTGTGTTATAATTTTGTTAAAAAGTTTTTTTGTAAATAATTATGGGGACGGTGTGTATTTCATAGCTATTTTAAATAATTTATTAATAAACGTAATTAATATACTTTGAATTTACAGAAAAAAGTAAAAATCAGTGCTGTTAAGCGTAGTGCACATCTAAAATCAAAGAAGACACCACTCTCTAAACAACAACAGCATAAGTTAGCACAGCAGAAAGCAGCTAAGGACAGAAAACAGAACATATTCCGTCAGAAGGCGAAAAAACGTGAACAACTACCGCAAAGACGCAAACAAATAGGTGATATATTAAACGATCCTCTTAAAAACGATGACGATGATGAGGATCCATCTCGGTTGGTGGAAAACATAGCTGACATGCTTGATGGCGATGACTTGGAGTACTTGCATGAGAAGGGTCTGAACAAGCAACGCAAACGAAAAAATGTAAGTGATGTCGCGGAGGAAAAGCAATCGGTTGGTTTGGAAAAAGCTTACACTAACAAAGCAGTTGAGGAGAATGATAAGAAAAAGGTTAAAATAAATCTATTGCCAATAAAAAGTCGTGACGGACATATCATAACACGAAGTGCCGAGGTAGACTATATACCCAAACCAAAGTTAAAACGTGGTAAAGAGGAAGAAGAAAACGAAGGAAATGGCATTGATGATGAAGAAAGTGTGGCTTATGAAGATAGTGATGATGATGTGGTTAATGATATGGGAGCTGTCAGTGCGCTACCAGAGCCCGAGAAAAAACTCATCTCAACTACTGATTTGCTTATAGCCCGCCAGCAAGAGATTGAGCGTCAGAAATATCGAATAGGAATAATATGTTCAGGTCTGTTAGAAAAACCAGAGGACAAAATGCGAAATTTCAATGCTTTGTATGAGTTAATGGAAGAGACCAATGCATCTGGAACCCCAAACCTTTTAACAATACGCAAATTGGCGATCATATCCATAACAGAAATATTTAAAGATATTTTGCCAGAATATCGTGTCGGTCAAGTGGATACGAAAATGCAAACAGGTAATTGTATAAAAATTAATTTCCGATCCAACTAGTATTTTCATGAAAATATTTTGATTATAATTTTTAGTGCGCAAGGCGACTCTTGAACGAGTTACGTACGAGAACGCGCTTCTTCAGCAATTCAAAAAATTCTTACAAAAACTAGAAAAACTTACCGCCATTGTAAATAGGCGCGGCCAAGGGCGCGTAACTCCGCAAGCTATTAAAATGGCCGAAGTGGCTGTGCAGAGTATGTGTGATATACTTATCGCTCATCCGTACTTTAATTATGTTCAAAATGTGGCACAGCTTTTAGTATATATGCTTAATTGCAAATATCAGAATATGAGAGAGACAATTAACAAATGCTTCCGGAGCTTTTTCGCTAGTGATAAGAAGTTGGATATGACCCTTTTCATTGTAAGACGCATAAATCACCTCATAAAAACAAAGTTGCCGAACGTGCATGTTGAATGTATTACCTGTTTGATGTCACTCAAGATAAAAAATGTGAATTTAGATGCTGAAAAGGAAAACGAGTTGAAACAAAAAAAATTGGAGGCCCATAGACAGCGTTTGATGAGTTTATCAAAGAAAGAACGTAAGAGACGCAAGAAATTAGCAGAAGTAAACAGAGAGTTAGATGAAACCCGAGCTGAAGAAAACAAGCAAACAAAGCTTTATAAACTCACGGAAATAACGAAAATGGTGTTTACGATATATTTTCGAGTTTTGAAAAATGATCCTACATCAAAAGTACTTAGTGTAATTTTGGAAGGCTTAGCAGAGTGAGTACCTAATAACTGCTACTATAAATACATCAAGAAAAAATTCTAACTGTAACTTTTAATGTTTAGATTTGCACATGTCATAAATATAGATTTCTTCTCGGACCTCATCGATGTACTAAATAGAATATTAGAAGAAATGGATTTGGGTTATAGGGAACAATTACATTGTATAAAAACTATCTTCGTAATTCTATCTGGCCAAGGAGAAGTACTAAACATTGATCCAATTCGTTTCTACCAACATTTCTACAAAAATTTACTAACCGTTGATGCTGGTAAAAACCATGAGGATTTCCGCATTATACTAGGCACTTTAGATGAAGTTTTGGTTAAAAGACGACGAAATATAAGCCAGCAACGCCTAATGGCGTTTATAAAACGATTACTAACGCTCAGTATGCATTTGCTACATCATGGAACTTTAGCAACGTTGGGAACAATAAAAACAACTTTTCAACTTACATCAGTGTTAGATGTATTACTTGATACGGACACTAGTGTAGGATCTGGCAATTATAATCCTGAATTAGACGATCCAGAATATTGCAATGCCTCAAGTACGGCGCTTTATGAGTTGACTATGCTCTCCCGTCATTACCATCCAACGGTGCGGAAGATGGCTATGCACATAGCTAGAGGTGTGCCTGCATCAGGAGAAGGATCACTGCCCCCGGAGATTGGAAAACTGTATGTTTGGAAAATAATGTTATTGAGTTTTGTACATTTCATCTCATCTTCTCATTTGCAGGACCTCTCATGAACTGTACGATCAGTTTGACAGCACGCAAATGGTATTCAATCCCGTTATACCGGTGCCGAAGCAAGTGGAACCAAAAATGAAGAAAGGTAGACACCAATTTATCAACTCTGATTTTAAACTATACTGGAAAAGTATCATACGATCGGGGGAAGCTGCTTTAAAGGAAAAATCAGGGCTCAAAGATCCCCCAGGTTATAACTTCTATAATGCTCTTGTAAATAACTGATCCAACTTTTAAAAGTAGTAACAAAATAAATTCTCATATTACTTTAATATGCCTCCAACGACTAATTGCATAGAATTAAGTGTTAAAGAAATATTTATTATATTTTTATTATGGGATAAGTTTTAATTTTTACAAATGCCGATAAAGAATTAACGAGGTAATTTATCTTCAGTAACGTAAATTTTTAAATAATTCAGAATGAATGCGATTGAATTCAGTACATTTGGGGGTTTATAGTTATAAGTTAAGAAAATTTTTGTATATAAGTGCATACATACATATGTATGTACATACTTTTTTGTTCAAATATTAAAAAATATTTATATAATAAAAAAGTAATTCCAATTGACTTTCTCAAAAGAAATTGGGCAACTGCCCATGATTATGAAATAGTGCCTCCTCCATGCATATAAACAATCTATTTTTATATTGATGTTCAAGAGCCAACGATGACAATTCATCTACTAGAAATAGGAATTGTGTTTCAGTTGTGTCTTCGATACACACTTTGCTACTTGCAACTATCCAGTGATCGGTTCGCATTTTTGGTATATGCAAACGTATTTGGTCCAAGAATTTCATAGGTTCAGTTTGACACCTGTATAAATTACACTATAGCAATACAATCGACCAGCACTTGCTTGTAAAGGGTACAATGACACACAACCCAAAGTTGACATTCGTCCTATGCAATCTTGTAAGCAACCAAAAGCAAAAGCATCTTCACAAAGAATATTTATGTATGTGTTATTATGAGACATACAATAGAATTTTGGTGTCAGTTTTTTCGATGACTGGTATTTCTCAATAGAGTTGGTTATTACTGTTCGCATAAAATGGAAAGCTTCTTTGGTTATTGGACTGTTATTTGAGAGGCTTATCTCTGCTACAATAATCTCATTCTTTGGGATGACTTTAGAGTTTTGAGGCTTCTCTGAATCTATTAGCATTTGCAATAAACAAATCTCAGTACGAAACTGTACTGCGAGGTCGTACAACATTCCGGATAATACAGGTACAGTAGTCTCGCCTAAAGAGGGCGTCACTTCGGTCATTTCATTCTTCTGAGGAACCAATTTGGTCATAGAATTCAATTTTTTGGTAATTTCTGTCCTCAGAACAGCGAGTTGCGCTTCTCTTTCTCTTTTTCTCATCCGTTTTCTTTGGGCTTTCGACAAACCTGTCAAATCAAGCGATGGAAAGACATTTTCATTTCGTTGAATATTCAGATTTTCGGAAGCAGCAAGTATTAATAATTGTTGAACGTCTGCAAAACAGTACTGCTGTACTGCTGAAGCCCACTTTTCAACGTCGTTGGTTAGATTCGGCTGCCTTTGCTCCTTTAACTTATTATTCGCAGGTGGCGTCTTAGGCGGCATTACGTTATCGGTCTGCAAAAACAAAAAAATTACGTACATAGAGATGTTAAAATCTGGAATTCAAAGAATTTTTCTGTTTTCTTACATTTGATACTTCTTAAAGTAGGAAACACAGGATGAACCGGAACACGCGGATAAAGCCACGATGATATTTGAGAAGTTTCACAACAAAATAAGAGACTTGTAACGTACATTAAACTTTGTATTTGTATTTATAACGTTTTTATATATTTCATTCACAGTGATTTAACAGGTCTTACCGGATCGAATGATTTTTTCAGCTACTTAAAAGTTCTGCAGAGCAATTCTGTAACTTTTTCGACACGATTTGGCGGATGCGTTTTTTTGGAATTTTGTTGTTGTTGTTGTAGCGGTTCACTAACCCCGCTTAGGCACAGGTTTGATCAATCTAAGCCGCCAAGGTCATCTAGTGGGAGGTCTAAGAAACGAGCTGTTTCTACGGGGTTGGACCTGCGGTAGCATCCCAAGTGATGCTCCGGCGTCATGAAAAGGTTTCCTGTCGCGGTCCTGGCAGTATGTTTTTCAAATCGGAATCGCAATCGTCGGAATTTTTGTGTCATCGACCTTCACATCTAGTTCAAGCCTGTACTCCTTAGTCTAGCTTGTGAAGAGGATAGCCGAGGATTTGGTCGGTTGTATTTTTAGCTGTCTTGCAGTGAAGAAGTGAGAAAGATTGGCGAGGTAGCCGTTCATTTTCGAACAGAGGTCGTCAATATCGTGCCCAGACCCCATCATCGTACAATCATCAGCATACGAGGTTAGGGAAACTCCTTCTGGTGGTGGAGGGAGTTTCGAGATGTAGAAATTAAATAGTAGCGGGGAGAGGACACCACCCTGCGGAATCACTCCCGTTTAATTTTTCTGGGTTTTGATGTTACACTTCGGAATATTAAGGATGACTGTCGACCGCTCAGGTAGCCCATGACCCACCTCTGCAGCCCCGGCGGTAATGAGGATTCCTCAATGTCTGTTAGTAGCACTGAGTGATTGACTGTGTCAAAAGCTTTTGACAAATCCAGCACTACCAGGACAATTCGCGCGCAGGGTCGGTTTTGGTTAAGGCCATGGACTATATGGGTCTTAATGGCGTTTAGTGCTGTTGTGGTGCTGTGCACTTTTCGGAAGCCATGCTGATGCGCTACTGAACGCAGATGGTGAGTGAAAGTCGGGAGCAGTAAGGCCTCAAGTGTCTTCGCTACTGGGGAGAGGAGAGTTATCGGGCGATAGGACTCTCCTTTGTTGGCTGGTTTCCCCGGTTTGAGTAGCGGGTCCACCCTGCCCATTTTCCACACGTCGGGTGTAATTAAGGTGGTCAAAGACAAATTGAGGACCCTCGCAAGAAATTCTGCTCCCGCTGAACCTCCTCCGTGGAGAAATCAAGCACCGCGATGGTGTTTGGCAGTTTGCGCATACGGCGGGTTACACGTCGCTTCGCTTTGTTTACCGAAGGATGTAGTGTTAAAAGTCGACTAAAATAGCTCGCGCATTTATTCGGGACCGACGAGGCGCGATCACATAATGAAATTTCCACCCGGTCATCGTGTCTCGTCGGGTTAGACAGCGACTTGGCTGTAGCCCAGAGCTTGGTTGCCCCAGAAGAGAGGTTGCAGGTCCTTAGGTGTTCCTTCCACTTTTCCCGCTTATGGTTGTTGACTACTCTTCGAATCTCAGCGTTTAAATCCCTAATTATTCGGGATCCCTAATTCCCGGGGTGGAAGCTTCGGAGGGTGTCGCGCATGATGGCTAATACCGCCGCTTCTGTCGGAAAATTTGGGCGGATTTCCGCAATTCGGCCTGCCGGGATGAAGCGTGCGGCAGCGGTCGCGACGACGGAATAAACGTTCACCAGTGGTGACGTTCAATGGAGTGGGAAGAGTACTAAAGACGTTCTCAGTGAGTACCGTGAAGCCGGGACAGTGAGCTTTTTTGAAGTTAACAAATGTCCGGTGGTCCGCAGAAACAAAGTCGGGAGGCCTGTCAATCGTGATTTGTGTGGGCAAGTGGTCCGATCTGTTGTTATGTCTGGCGAGCTTGCATCTGACTGAGGCCACGTTCCGACGCACTATGGTCTGACTCACGTAACGGACTGTGGCGGGGGACTAGGAGCTGCTGGGAGCCCTCGCATGGGAGGAGGATGAGGAGCTGATTGTGGGCAGGGATGGGGCTGGAGGTTGGTGGGAGTCATGCTGCGGGGAGCTCCGTGAGACCGTAGAGGTCTGTTGATTACCCTGAGTGGGTAAAGGTGTTGAAGGCACTGCCATGGAGGCTGGGGGGCAATTAGTCGCTGGCAGCTTGGGGCCCCATAACTAGTAATCCACTCCCTGTGAGTCTTAAGGCCTGAGCAGGTCTTAAGGTGACTACAACTTTTGCACTGGTTGCATCTAACCGAGGTGGAGGAGTGGTGGAGCCTTTTATGATACACGCAGCAGAAATAATCCGTCGGACCAGGGTTGGTTACGAAACCAGCCCTGATAAGAAGGATTTGGAGCAACCCAGCTGCAAGGTGTTGCTCCGTTGGCAAACTTAGACTAATTTTATCTGTTGAACTAAACGGGGTTAGGTCGCCGAAAGGGTGACAGCACTTGGCCGGATAAACTCCGGCTCAACACCGGTGCGTAGAACCGGCTGTCGTGAGAGTCGCGAGTTTCGAATTTTGTCGATTGCGCCATCGATTTTGCGATTGTCTTACTCAGTTTTTACGATAATCAACAACGTACATTTCCATTTTATTAAAATGAAGGAAAGGTGGCACCTGAGCTTGACAAAACGTCAAAATATGCGAAAAGCACGAATAGGAATGACAAAAACAAATAAATTTGTTACAGAAATGGCGAGGTAATGGGATATTTAACCCTCGCAGGAAACATTGAATGGTTGACTGCGTCTGTCACGCGGTGAATACAATAGCTTACTGACGACCGACTTAAGGGTATTCCCTATTGCTCTCCGACGGGACGTTGGTAGCATCCAGTTGCAAAGAATTGCAAGTCGGGTAGAACCTTAAAACATTTTAATATTGTAAAAACTGAAAAAATGTTTAAAAGTTATTAAATAATGTTGTTATTTTCTGCCTTTAAGTTGCGTAACAAGTGGAAACGATCTTCAACTTTCCGAAACCAACTTCTATCCACTGATGAAGCGTACAATACCTCCTCATCTTAGGATAAAACGTATGCCAAATACTCAAAATCTATTTTTGTTTATAATTTCATTTTCATTTTTATAAAACTTATTCAATTTCCCGATTTACTTTACTTTGTTTCAACCCCAATGAAATAACAATATTTTGTCGATATCGCTGACAACCTAAAAATATTCGTCGCTTAGTTAGCGATTTGTCGAGTAATTTACGACACCAGCGAGGGCAAATATTGTTAAAATAAGTACACCGAATATTAAGGCGTTAAAAATATCGCTAAGTCTTTTTTGCGATCCAAAAATCGTTATAATACGATAGAGAATTCCCTACAGAAGTGCGCTCTTTATTTTTATATAAGTTATTATATTTTAGATTAAATATAATTAAAAAATATTTTTTTGGCCGAAGCCGTCTTTATTGGGTCAGAGTAAAACTTAGACTAATTTTACAATATTATTTACTTAACATTAAAGTTCTGTGTCACGTTCAAGTGCAGGTGCGCTTTTATGTTGTTGTTGTTGTGGGCTGGCTGGCCAGACGTTCTCATGTGGCGACGGTGTGGAGTCAGCATTTTGGCAATTGCACGTGTGGTGTCGTTTTCCCCGTGGGATAATGACCACTGGGAACTTTATACGCTTGCGTAAGTTAAAGTATGAAAGCTGCTTCAGCGTATCCGGTGTTAACTTATACAATGGCAAAACGCCAAATGCGAATGTAAGGTGAGAAGAAAAGGCCGAAAACTAATGCTGCAACTACCCATCTTACATACCTATCTTATGAGAGCGCCATGTAAACACAAAGTTGTTACCGCTTGCCCATGTCGTTACTGACGATTGTCCCGCAGAAACCAGCGGCGATTTGATTTTTTCCGTAAAACCGGCTGTCCCGCAGAAACCAGCGGCGATTTGATTTTTTCCGGTAAACCGGCTCGGCTTATTTCTCGTTGCTATACAACTTTGCCAGTATAGTTTTCTTTAAAGTAATATTAAATAATCGAAGATAATGCGTAGCTTTTTCAAAGGAAAGGAAAACTAAATTCGTAATTGCTTATTTGTTACCATATAGATCATGTATAATTGATTTGTGTTTATATTCGAACACATAAATTAAGAAATTTGTTGACGAAAATTGTAAATTTATTCAAAAGCAAGAGAACGTTTATTATTACGTATTATTAATATACGCTCTTTGTCAAAAGTTTGCGAACACTGGCAGCCGGCAACATTTCGCCACTCTCAGTAGCGTTGGTAACTCGTGTATGCATATCGCTCTTCCAGCCGGCTGTTATGGACGGAAGGTAAGTAAAATGGATAGTTGCAGCATTAACGAGCTTAATGCTTTGCTGCGCAAGATGATAGAGGATGAACCTCCACCCTGGCACATGAATGGCGTCCTCGGTATCTAATCACCACTCATCGCAGACAAAGAGTCCGATCTGTCTCGAGAAACCCGCACGTATATACAGCGTAACGAGTCTTCGCATGACACTTAGATGTGTCGTTATATACCCCCTAAAAACGACACATCTAAGCTTTCTCTCCCTCTGTTCGGAACCCGTCGAAACAGCATGATTCCTGAATCTCCCGTTAGAAGATTTCGGTGACTAAGACTAACTAGCTTGTCCCCAAGCGAGGTTAGAACACAATAGGCCACAAATTTCTCGCATATATATATCATATCAACTGGTTAATGATATGTTGTAAAGAAGTTTCCCGGTTGTGGTATACTCAGGTCTCTTATAATTATTGTACAATAACTTTTTATTATTTAGATATTTATAAATGGGGTATAAATGCCCACTTCGTAAATACTGCGGGGGCTGAAAGCCCTGCCATTAGTATTCCTTTCGATACGTTCCACGCTACTTTCGCTACGTTTTTATAGAGCTAGCGGAGCTCCTAATAGCCCTGCAAGAACGGGCTGATTGGTTCAACACACACTCACACGATTTCGGGCAGCACTAACACATAAGCAAATTTTTTTGTTTATCTTTCTCTGCTGAGTACTTTAATTACTTACTTACTTCATTTTTCATATGCATATATGTAAAGAGTTATGAAAAATGAAGTTTTTAATTAATCGACAAGGATCCTCATCATATTGCAGAAAAAACGATAAAAATGGCGTTCTACATAAAACAAATCGGATAATCCGTTTAACTAGCTGCATTCTTCTCCAATTTGTATGTACTCAGCAGAGAAAGATAAACAAACCAATTTGCTTATGTGTTAGTGTTACCCGAAATCATGTGAGTGGATTGGTAAACCCATCAGCCCGATTTTGCAGGGGTGTTTGTCGATAATAATTTAATTGTAGTAAAAAAATTATGTGCCAACTGTTGGGGAAAAACCAAACAACATATGTACATTCCTTATTGGTTTTTCTTTTTAACTGTCAAATATTTTATCAGCCATTTTTCATTCATATACTGATTCGCTATATATAAAAAAACTACATCTAACCAGTTGCTTTTCTTTAAAAGTAACATAACTTATTCATATACATATTTACTTAACTTATTGAAATACAATTTCTGTATTTTGTTTTCAATTTTAGTCCGTAATGTACATTCATTGCTCTTCATCATTTAGTATATTTTGTTGTATTTCCTCATAATATTGTACATTCGTTAGCGTTATAAGGCTTTCTAAAGCACAGCGACTCTGGCTCCATGGCGCATGGCTTATTACTCCGATTAAGTGATAGCGTCCATCAATATATCTGACGAACCCACTACCGCTGTCTCCTTGACAAATGTCGCCCGTACTTGAACTTCGTATTGCACAAAATTTATCTGTCGGCAAATCATAATTGTGAGTTTCGTTGATTTTTAATTTTTCAATGCAATTGTAGTAAGACACCGTCGATACACTAATTTTCTGAAATACATCGATGTTACTGCTATTCGCAGTGATGCCCCATCCTACAATGTAGCCATTCAAACCGTTTTCCACCGTGGCGGCGGCTTGTTGTTGATATCTAAAGCAAATTGAGCGCACGTAGGCGCTAAATATGAAAGGTTTTGCTACTTTGATAATCGCCATGTCACCGTCATAATTTTCATTGAAACTCTTGTACCTAAAAATTATTGAAAGGTTAATATCTACGATATTTCGTTTTCATTAAATAACTTTACTTGGAAGGGACATAAATGCTGGCAACATTGTAACCTTCATTGCTGATAGACTCGGAGGCAGATCTTGCGGGAGAGACTTTGAATAGTCTTTTGTCGTAAACCGCCTCGACGGCGTCGTCCCAAAAGCAATGAGCAGCTTAATGAGAGAAAAAATGTTCGTAAACTGTATCGAAATAAAGTTATTTGCTTGTGGGACGGTTAAAACCATTTAAAAAAAATGTATGTATGTACTTGTTTATATATTTTATGAATAAAAAATTCGCCTTTTTGTGACTTTAGGTCTTGATATATTGCGGACTTATGATTAACATTTGCGTTTTATCCGCCCTCGGCCATACGAGTATATATAATTACGACGTCATCTTCCAGTTTGTTGTTTCGTCTGCCGTCGATTGAGGGACCACAATTGGAGAAATTAATTTTTTTTCTTAAAAATTCAATTATAAACAAAAAATAACTTTCCCTGCGAGGGATTCGAGAATTTACCTTCGTAAGGGGTGACTAAAATACAATAGTTTCCGCGACACCCGGGTCTTTATTACCGGAAAACTAATTCGATTAATATTTTTGCGATTACAAAAACAATTACAGAAAAATTTAATTAATTTGTTTGTTTAAATTATTTTTCTAAAATTTTATTGGTCAACCCAGCATTCAAGTCCACGACATAAACCATGTAAAACTTATCTAGCGAATTCGTCATTACAAATAAGAAGGACTTCTTGTACATACATACATACATATGTACAATATATACAATTTGTATATATTTATTTACCTGAAACCACAAGTCGCGTTGAAACGATTGACCCACCGCAAGAGCGCTTAAAATCTCTTTCATTCAAATTGCTATAGATACCCACATGCCAGGGTGCCTCAGTAACATTAATTTCTGTGCCATATTTTGCCAATGATATTGACTTTTGCTGAACGTATCCACATTTCAGTTCACAGGGAGCCCTTTCTTGATCCCATTTGTAATCATTTGTACAGTGTAATTCGGTATTCGTTACACTGCAATCATATTAAATCGATAAGAAATGTAAATGCCGGAAAGAACGATGAAAAAAAATATAAATTTCTTTGCTAATTCCCCTCTACTTACTGCTTTCTTGTATATCCTATTGCACAGTTGATTTCGGCGGTAGTGCCCGGCAGAATTTTTTCACATGGCACTTCCGATTTCTGGTAAAAACAACGCGCTATCGTAGAGACGCCTTCCCGTATCTCATTTGAGTTGCAGTATTCTATGAATAAAATAAAAGGTTTGTTATTATTTATTTTCAACAATTATTGAGTGCAAATTCTTACTACTATTAGTACATATTGGTAGTTCGCTGTCCCATCCATCGCTCTTACAGAGTGAGTAGCTCTTGCCATCTAATATGTAGCCCGATTGACAAGAAAATCTAACAAATGTATTTGTTGGTACCGTGGTACCCATGGCTAAATGCGTACCGAGGTATCCGTGAGTGATTATAACATTCGGAAGATTTTTAGGTATTTTACAAAACTCCTCAATAGACGGTATTGTAGGCACTGTAGTAATTCTTGTCGGTGGAGTGGAGCTACTTTTGCGTGTGCCGCCACATAGGGCATACGATTCGTCAGAACCATCGTGGCATTCTACGGTACCATTGCAGGCTGCCTTGCCTTCAATGCAGGCACCGTATGCGCATCTGTGGGCGAATGATTGACACGAAAACGGCGCACATTTGTCCAGTGTCTCATCTTCGCCCTGTGGACAATGTCGAATGCCATCACATACTTTATCACTATCTATACACTCACCACTATCGCACTGCATCTCCGCATCCCTTTTAGGTTGAAATATGTAGGCATATATGCATTATAAAAAATATATAAATAAATATAATCTTTTAAACCTACCCGCAGCTACCGCGCACAGCCGCTTCAACTTCGGATACTGTCATCCGACAAATAGATTTCAGCTCGTCTGAATTATCTGCGCAATCCTGCTTATTGTTACAGCGTTTTATACCCGGTATACAGGCACCGTACGCACAACGAAATGCATATGTGGGACATTTTGAATTTCCATAGCAGTTTTCTATAGTTTCATCAGAGCCATCAGCACAGTTAATCATACCATCACATAGATATTCACTATCAATGCACTCGCCATCGTCACATCGCCAATCACATTCCTTTTGCTCTAGAAGTGTGAATGAATTATATAAAGTAAAGTAAAGTTCGATAAGCAAAATGTATAAAGAGCGACCGTTTCATAAAGGTTTCCTAAGATACTAAAGCAGTCCAGACGCATTTGATTTCTGAGAAAACCTCTATTTAGGAGCAGATTTTTAAAATACAACAACAATAACAATAGAGCTACAAGTTATCCGATTATGCCCATTTAATAATACTTGATGTACTGAAGTCAAGGAAACGCTTCAAAAAGAAGAAAATAAAAGAAGCGGCTCCAAAATGACAATTGCACATACATATGTACGAGTATGTATAAGTATGTATGTTCATATATATCCATTTTTAATCAATAGACTTCAGTACTGGGAAATATAATACTTTTAGAGATTGTAATCAAATTTAGTCGGTATTAGGTTTAGTTGTAAACATAAATATTTAAAAATATAATTTTTATTTCGCGTGCGAAGGAAAAAAATGCACATAATGAATTTTAATTTTTTAGTATTTTATAATTTAAGAGTAAATGATTTTGATATTCATATGATGAGCAAAGTCTCGCGTTTACAAAACATTATTATTTACATAAAGGTGCGATTGGTTAAGAGCACACGCTTGGTTCTCTCTTAAAATTCTTCAAATCAACAACGAACAGATACGAGTTCTACATAAATTACATATCTACATATGCACTCGTACATATATACAAGTATATACATAAAGCTAACACAAATATGTTGATTTTATAGTTAAAGGATTTCAAGCAAGTGAAGGAGCTTTTATTCATTAAAATTTTTATTATTTAAACTTATAAAATTCAATTTAGCAACAAATTATGCATGTACGTGTAAATGTGAACTGAACATAGTTAATAACAAAATTACGAAAAGGAAAGAATTTTAATTTAACCATTTCACTTACGAAGGCTTCTACCGGTAATAAGACCGAAGATTATTATTATATATATATTTATGAGTGTACTGTATGAAAAATCAGCAATCACGAATTCTAGCATAATGATGAATTAAAACACAAAATCACGATCAATTGTTTACAGCTTTAAATAATATTTTTCAAATCTTCCGAATGCGGAATATAATGCGCTTCGCGATGCGCACTTGAGTCATCATCGAGATCTCGAACGCTACTAAAATAAGTTGATTGAGCTCAGTTTCATTCGCAGATGAATGAAATATTTTTGTATGTGTGGATGGCTTGATATGTTATACAGGCAAGCTTCCCTATAATACAGTAGGCGGTAGCAACAGATTATTAGATTATTATAGAGCGGTTTCGGCATAAAGGGGTTCAAAAAATAACATAACTTCACACATCTTTCCGTGTAAAACCAATTTTTCATCACTCGAATACCATGTTTGCTAACGGGTATTCACATCGACTTTTATGGTTTTCGTTGATAAATATATCAGACAGATTATATTTTCATATTTTTTAGTAAAAATACAATAAAAGAAAATCGTAAATTAGAAATTGGATTGAAAATTTTTTTTTTCGTATAAACTAATATAAAACTGATAAAAGACTGAAATTATTAAGCAACGCAGAATTTTTTCAGCGATTTTTCGTTTTCGAAAAACGTTGGAGCATTTTTAACGCATACCGTATTCAGGATGTAACGAAATTGAGAGAGCGAGATGTTTCACTTTTCGAAAAAAAGATATTTACTGAGTTTTCAACGAACAAAAATAAGCGAGCAAGTTGTACAACATCTGTTTATTTTGGCGGTTAATTTTGAATGCGTTTATTATTATTTCTGGCTTTAAAATTTTAAGAATATATTTATACATGTTTCAAAATTATACAGTGAAATTTTCGAAGAAAAAAATTAAATATTTTTTAAGTTATAGTCGATCTCCAACGTCGCGGAAAAAAGGTCCTTCACTGCTGTAGCAATTCCGGTCTTCTCCGTGGATGAAATCTAAAAAAAAAATTCTCTACTAGATAATATTGTCTGTACAATGACCCGATAGAAAGGAATTGACAATATAATTTTTGATATTGTTTTTGAGTAATCACTGCAGCAAAAACGCGTTTAAAGATAAAATGATCGTAGCTAATAAGACTCTCTAGCTGCCGAGGGGCTGCTCTTTAAATTGCTATAACCCAAAAACTATTTGAGATATCGTTTGGAAATTTTAATGTGTTATTTTTAAAGGTGTGATCTATCGAAATATGATAAAGAAGTTTTTGAAATTTCACACTAGGTGTGCCCCTTAATTGTATTCAAAATTTAATGTATTTCAACATAGATGAAATCATATATGCACTATAGTTGTCCAACGCTAAAGAGGGTTGATGTAGAGCTTGCTGTGCAGCAATTGGTTGCTTAGATTTTCAGTAAGGATAACTGATACCAAATAACTGAAATACGTAGTTAAGTTTGAAATTCTTTTTCTTTGAAACCCTTCTTTAACTCAACATTATTATAGAGTTTTTTCAATTCTGTTGCAATAAACACTAAGCAAGAGCTTTATTTTTGCTTCTAAATGCTACTAATATCCCGTTTTGTGAATCGTCGTCGCTTCCGAAAGATTAAGAATGCATTATCCTCATTGTGGGCGTAGCAAGAACTTTGCTTCGAATTTGTTATGCGGCTCCTTTGGTCACCACTCCTTGCTGGTAATTTATAGAAAATCAACCGTTGTACTACAAAAATTCATTTAATCTAATTCTATGTCTTCATAACTTTTAATTTCTCAACGGAAGCTGGGTTGGGTGCGGGCGATGATTCCACTCCCGTGCAACCACATTTTCGTTTAACGAGTGTCTTTACTGTTGTTGGAATAATTAATATTGTTCAGTTAAATTAAACAACATTACATTTAACCACACATTTTGTTGGTATATAACTCATATTAAAGAATTACAATTATTTTAATTTTGAATCAATTTGGTTTTGTCGACAAAAATTCAATCATATGATCAGAAATCAGCTGTTTTTCATACTTGCTTGTTCTTATTGGATGAACAATTTTTACTAGGTTTTTGGCTCAACGAACACGATCCGGTAGTTTTGTAAAAATTGTTATAGTCCATCTAGTTAACGAACAGAACTATTGTGTTCATGCAGAACAAACTTTTAAATGCACCACCCCTTTAAGTTTATAGCAGCTGATGAACAAATCTGTAGCTGTTTAGTGTTAGAGGCAAATGTAGCCGCGACCTTACGCAATCAGTCTCGTGTTCAGACCATTCTATTGGATTCTTCGATTATCCTTCAGACGCGCCCCTCGGTCGGTTGGGTGGGAGGCGCGTAAAGCTGTGTTCGCCATCGTCGTCAAAAAAAGTTAATTTCGTCCATCTGTCCATATCAGCAAGAGTTCCGGCTTTGAAAGTTTGCAACAGAGTACTCGCCGGTGGAAGCAGAGGAAAGGGAAGACCTCAACTCCGTTGGAGGCATCTTATGTGTCTCCATTAGACGCCAAAAGGGGTAGATGAAATTTTTGTAGTGCTTTCATTAATTCGGCTAAAATTGCGTAAGCCAGAGGTGTATTAACAATTTATTTCTTAATAAAATTGTATATTGCTATTAAGTCATAAATATAGCCCTGTGGTATTTTGGCGTGATGTTTTTCAATACGGTTCTTGAAATCTGCCAGCCAAGAGAGCGTGCAACCACATATGTTATATATGTATGTATGTATGTAAGTTCAAGTCCAAATATATAATTGCTAATACAATAAAAGGAGTTGGAATGTGATCATAGAAAAACTACAAATATTTTAATTTTAATGAGAATGTACAGGCGATCGCAAAAGTAGAGTGGCTAGCAGTGCGTACTATCATGTGGGGGGGTCGTGGGTGCAAGTAATGGTCCGGCTAACATCAATAAATAATGAAAATTAATTTCAATAAAAAAATTAAGTTAATTTATCTAAACGCTTTATTTGCTTTTTAAAATCATAAAAAAAATTTTCATACAAATAGGAATTAAATTTAAACATATTTCCATTTGATTTCACCGTTGTAAGAATGTGTCGAAACCTTGCTGTCCCTACTTATTCAACCTTTAAATATTTAATCAGTGAAAACTTTTTTTTGGTGTGTTTTCGTTTGACAAGTTTACCATTCACGAAAACAAAAGTTTTTGCGCAAAACCAATTTTCGCAACAACAGCAAGCAAGGTATAAGTTGTTTTCAGTAACTTAATTTTTATAATGAGTTGAGCAACTTAGTTTTTATTTTATCATAGAAATCAAGGCAAATTCACACACGATAGTAGCAAGAATACAAAAACAAAAAGTAATTATAGTTTCGAAAAGTCAAAAACGAAAATCGTTCAATGTATTTTGTTTGTGTAATTAGTTCAAATGGTAGGAAGAACAAGCCATCACATGATTTGACAACTTCTCCTTCAATAAATTCGCTTTGGTAGAAATGAATAAAATTTCTTTTTTCGAAAAATAATTCGTACAATTTTTTCATTTTGTTATAAATGGGACCTACTGTAGACACACAGAGAGTTAAGAGAGTTTCAGACGCTAAAAAGCAATATATATATATATAACGTTTTTCTCTTAATATTTATTTTCTGATAAGACATTCAGTTAACGTACTGTTGATTCCAGAAAACAGCTAAATTCTAATAGGTTTTTGAAAATATAACAATTTCTTTTCAATTCATAACAGAAAAATTGTTTTACATCATTTCTTGTATTAAATACCAATATGGTCATAATTACATTGCTTGCAATATACTTTTGAAAGTCATTATTTAAAAATAAATAAAACAAGATTAATTTTCTATTTAAATGTTCTTCTTTTCTGTTTTATGTATACATTTCTCTTTTCATCTACAAATTTAAACTTTCGAGCAAAAAAGTTTTGAATCAATCTAACACCTAAGTAAATGAAAATATCCAGTTTTCATTTCAAATAAATACAATTGTTTTTCTTTATACAGAATCTGTCGTTAAAAATCAAATTGAAATAATTTTAGTTCATTTACCTCGAAAAAGTGCAATACGCCAAGAGCATGGACGCGCGTCGTAAAATGTATATACTCTTTTTTGTATGCTGCTTCATTGTGGTATTCTGCTTAATTTTAATCATTTGCCTCTCCGGGTTTTCGCATGAATCACGCAAGTTTCGAGCGCTTCTCTTCGTCATAATCGTTGTGTTACTCTTTCACAGTCTGATCGGTGATTTTGTGAAATTCTTGGCATACGCTTGCTACTCGGCGTTGCGCAAGAAACCACCCGTTCAGGAGGGCCCAGATATAGGCCGTTCAACCGGCACTTACAGTTACGATGAGGATGCACTGGTACGGCTACAACTAGCCAGCCACGAGGCTGCCATGCATACAACACCATCACATTATAACGAGTCTTTGAATCTCAAATATAAACAGATTATTAACGAGCTTCGGCTGTATGGGTTATATTTCTTATTGCTATTACTGTTAGTAGTTGGCTCACGGAACTATCTCGCCTTTTACAACACAAATACGCTGAAAATTGTGTTAGAAGAAAAACGTTTGGACGCTTTTGGCCTGTATTATGTGCACACCTTGGAAGACGTCTATGAATATATGCGCCGCATCATAATTCAGGCCTTCAATGAGGGTCGTGACTACAATGGTGAGGTTATAGAAGAACCGGGCTGGATACAATATAACATTGCTAAGCTTCTAAGTGTCGTGCGTTTGCGGCAAGTACGGCGCGAAGACCCTCATATCGGGTTGAGTTCGCCAACCTTCGATTACAGAAACTTCATGCCGCGTTGGCAGTTACCTTTCAAAAAGTTGCATTACATTAACAAGTATATACACACTTACGGACCATGGCTAGAGGGTCAAATAGACTGGAGTATATTTACAGCCAGCGATCGAGAAGGCAAATTGCACACGTATTCCGAAAATAAGGGTTACTCTACATTCCTTTCACGCGACCTAAATAATAGTCTCAAAATATTGGAGTATTTAAGAAAAGCCAATTGGCTGGATGCCCGGACGGCTGGAGTATTCATCGACTTTACACTCTACAACGCTGATTCAAACATATTTAGCGTTTGCACGATTTTGCTGGAGTACACACCCTTCGGTAATGTGCTCACCCATGTTGATGTTCAGAGCGTTGAGTTGATGATGAATTTGGATAATATGCCCGGAGTGTTTTTAATGATTTTCCTATTATACCTTTTCACATTAATCTATTTCACTAAACATTTGGTTTTGAATATACTCTACAAAACGAAGATGTCTGCCTCACCTTGGAATGTCGTGGATGGCGTTATAATTGTTTTAAATATATTCATCATTATTTTGATTATTGTGCGTGAGTCAAAGGTGTCTACAATGATGACACAGTTTGAGGTATCGATGAAACTGGAGTTTATAGATTTTCGTGTACCTGCAAAGATCTACTACCTAACGAATCTGACAATCGGATTTCTTATTTGTCTGACCACACTACGACTGTGGAAAGTATTTCAATTTGCCAAACCTTTTCGGGTCTTTACACGTACCCTCTATCGGGCAAGATATGCATTACTAACGCTTATGGTAATTATCGTCATTTGGCTATTTGCTTTTGGCATCAGTTCGTATATAATAAATGGGAACGACACAGAACATTTCACCCATCTGCTAAAAAGTTTTACCGCATCCATGAGTTATTCATTTGGTTTCAGTAGCACTGTTAGTCCGTATGATCTCACTTACGGTGGACTAACTCTCGGATTCATTTTGTATGCACTGCTAATGTTCGTTATTGCTATCGTTCTACTGAATCTATTCATAACCCTCATATGCGATTATTTTTCCGAAAACAAAAACACACCGGATGATGACGAAGCTACCGAATTGAGCTTTTATGAATTTCTTAGAGTTGAATATGGTGGTTTTGGTCGCTGGTTTAAGCGTACATTGTGCAGTTGTTGCGTGAAGCGTGCCTATGATCCCGAGAAAGGAAATGTTAAGGAAAGCATTGAGAAATCTGTGATGAACAGTGAGAGAAGAACATTGAAGCGCAAGCAGGCGGGACTGGAAAATGGGGACTCTCTTTATGGACGTCAACTGCGAGATCTCAATCAAGTACGAGCAATGGCGCGAAAGTTGAATGCTCAAGTAGCGCTATTGCGTCGCTATCAGCGTTGGCGTCAACGTTATCCATAGTACTACTATTTCATTTAATTTATTAACTGTAAATATTTAATAGAATTTCGAAAAAGAGAATAAAGGATTATGAATTTGAGAAAAAATTTTGTGGGATATCCATTAAACCAGTTGAAAATGCATTAATTTTGGTTGTGGATCCATCTCAGTAATTCTTGACCGCTCTTTGGAATTCACCTCCGATATTATGTTCACAGAGATTATCCTGCCGAGCACATTCCTTTAGTGAATTATATTTTATATTTCCAAAATTACCGTTATATGGACGTTGGCGTTGACAGTCTATCTTTAATGTCAGACATACCTACCGTTTACGTATTTGGATACCAACTTCAACAAGACCCAAATTATTCTCAAGTAATTTAATTTTCTAAAATTGTATTTTTTTTATTATATTTTTCTTTTCTTATGTAAAATGCTTAAAGTCTTACTAATATTTATATAATGCGGTATACAAATGAAAAATGAAATATGCGCATGAAGAAAGCTTAGGGTAAGAGGGCATGCCATGCAAGAATGTGAAATAAAGTATTTATAATGAATTCGAAGTAGAGCGTTGGTTACATAAGGTATTTAAAATCATATGAAGCAAATTATTAAACTATGTGTACTACCTATGTGAAAGTAAGTACAGGAATGCCAGAGACAGCATAAACCGGGTACAGGTGCCAAATGTCCTTATTGTATATGGTAGTACTATTTGAAGTAACATGTTTAAGGCCTCCTTTGCTGTTGAGATGGAGGTAAATATTCACGATTACTATTCGCACTATTTGTAGTAGCTCCTGCTGGCACAGTACCCGAACCACTCACTCCAACCCCACCAGGTCCGTAACTAGCTTGGGTGGCTGAAATGGGAGCAATAGCTGTATTGAAGGACTGAGCCGCACTTGGAGGGCCACTTGAATAGCGAGCTGCATTCGTATTGTAACCTGCAATCGATGGCACTGGTGTTACTGGTGTGCTTGGAACTGTACCATAAGCGGTAGGTCGCAAATTCGCGGTGCCGAAAATACCACCTGCCGACGGCAAAGTTCCGCTTGTAGGGCGCAAACTATTTGCACTTGAAGCGCCAGGATAACTTGCCGGTTGACGTGCACCCAATTGAGCCGAGCTACCCGTTGCGCTATATGTGCTGCCTGCGCGCTGTTCATTGCCATAATCATAGATATACGCATTGTTGCCATAAAGTGCTGGCGCTGTTGCACACTCAAACTGATTCCACCATACGCAGACAAGTGTTTCCTGACTGAAAATGGTACCATTTGGACAAAGGAAGGAGTAGGTGCGATTGAGCGCACATATGTGAAAAACCTGACACTGAGCATCGACGTCCGAGTAATAACCAGGAAGCTGCTGTCCGCAATCAAAGTTGGTTTGTGGCACTTGTGCGTACACAGGATAGTCAACGGCCGGGACGCCCGGTATAGCAGAGTAATCCCCTTCGCCACTGTAGTCTACATCGTTGAATGTTGAAATTCTTGCTGCATTGTTATACGCCGATTGTCCAGTGGCAATGTTGGCCAAACCACCGCTAAATACTCCTCCTGCACTACCTCGTTGCTGTGGTGTTATAATTGGACGCTTTGGTGCATTGAAACCGGTGCCTACTTGCAATGCAGACGAACCAGTGGCGCCAGAGAATGATCCTGGTGCAGTAGAACTTAAAGCTGACGGCTGTGTTCCAAAGTTGGAATAAGGAGTAGCACCAGCACCAGCAGTGCCGCCAAAAGCAGAGCTGGCTGAGGAGGTGTAGCCTAAGGGAGTGTTTGAAGAACCAGCTAATGCATTGCTGCTTACGGGAACTATTGGCCGGAGAGGATTCGAACTGCCAAGTCCGCCACTCGCCGCATTGGATATTTCGGGCCGCCCATAGCTGTAGCCACTTTGACCCTAAAACAACAAAATACGTCAAGAACTTGAAGTTTTTCTATATGAGATGAGAACGTAAACGATATTTACCTTAGTTCCTGCGCTAAATAGCAACAGCGAAATTCCTAAAATAAAAAACGAGAACAATTTATTAAAATAAATTCTAAGTAAAGAAGGTAAGTCTCAGGTTGAGATTGCCGATTTGGTGGGATGTGCTATCAGGCGATTTGTAGAGACGAAATCCCACAATAATAAATCAAAAAGTGGAAGAAAGCGTCTAACCAGTAAACGAGAAGACCGAATATTTATACGCGTTGTCTCTCCTCTCAAGGATCCTTTTCGGATGAAGTTAGTAAGCCAGTTGGTGCTCGAACAGCTAGAAGAAGACTTCTGGAAGCAGGTTTGAAAGGATGTAAAGCTTGAAAGACTCGCGGCTTTCATAAAAGAAGAGGAAAAATCATATGGAATGGTTTCGCCGATACCAACAATTCACGGAAGAAAACCGGTCGAATGTTCTGCTGTCTGATGAATCAAATTTCGAGGTAAGTTTAGTTAAGATGGTCTTAAAGTATTAACAGCTATAGCTTCTTAACCTGGAGCAATTTTGAAGGCATAATAAAAGTCTTATGAAAACTCTATGTTTTCTTTTCTACAGTTATTTGGAACACCTGGTGTGACGTTCGTGAGTCGACGGGTTGGGGAAGAATATCATCCAGATTACGTGGTACCCACCGTTAAGCATGGAGGAGGCAGCATTATGATCTGGGGCTGCATGGCTGCTGATGCTGTCGGCGAAATGTTCGTTTGCGAGGGTCACATGGAAAGTCAAAACTACATAAATATATTAAAAACTGTTCTTTTGTCCTCACACATTTTTGGCGATACTAATTTAGACGGGTTACAATTTCAGCAAGACAATGCTCCTTGTCCTTGGTTTAGAGATAACAAAATTTTTTTTGTTAGATTGGCCTGCACAGACTCCTGATCATAATCCCATTGAGTACATGTGGGCTGTTTTAAAACGCAGTATAACATCAAAAACTGCCTTAAAGAATGCCTTAATTAACGAGTGGTACACTTTATGTGCGGACGAATGTGCAAAGCTTGTACGCAGCATGCCTAAGAGAATTGTTGCCGTTATTAAATCGAAGGGTGGACCTACTAAATATTAATGTTATTATCACTAATCTATTGTATTTTCACTTTTTTACTAATAAAACTTCATTACTTCATTTGTTAAAACAAAAAATTAGTGGGGTGCCTAATACTTTTGGACATGGCTGTACATACTATGCTTAATATTTTTATATTTTTTAACTCTCATATTTTTCATTCATTTGGCTGCCATAAACGTACATATAATGTAAAAATCCGATCATTTAATTCAATAAATGTAATTTTTCGTTGAAAATCAAAATAACACCTCTTATTAGAGAACCTTGTATATATTAGGTGTAGTAAAATGAAATCCATTGTTTTTGCTTAAAATTGAATGGTTTAATTGTTTCTTTTCGTATCCAGCCCTATTCAAATAGTTCCAAACGGTTTTTTGTGCAATCCTTAGCTCTTGGGCAATCGGAACAGTGCATACCCGACCGTCATGGACTTGACAAAATCCATAATTTAAGCGATATTTTAGACGATTGACCTTCCACAACGTGGACCATCTCTTACATAAAAATTACTGGAATGAAATCGAAACAATGCACAATTGACTGTAACAGTATCAGGACCATAAGCGCTATTCACATTTTCAGCTGCTTGGCTTGCGTTTTCGCCCTTATCGAAGGAAAACTGTGAAATATAGCGTATTTTCTCTCTGTTAGTCTCCATATTTGTCGAATGCTCAAACAAAACACCTAATATAATATAATTGACGCTTTGTAACCACGTAAAAGATTTTCGACCGAGCTTCTCCTCCATATTGTGGTAAGAAGGATCTGGCTTCTCTTTGATGTCATCAATGGACACTGAACGGCTAAGAGAAGAAACTATTGACACGCTATTGTTAACTCGGCTTCAACTGGATTGGCTCTGTCTATGCCAATAAAGAAGACGAAGAATGGCAACAAGGAGCCTAAGGAACAATGCTCATTATATAGCCCATATGGTTATGGCTTGGGACATAATTTTGCTCCAAAAAAAATGCGCCGGACCAATATATGTAAGTAGAACTTTACCCATCTCTTTTCCAAAATACTATGTATATAAGTTTGATGCTAGCTGTTCCTAGCTTGTTTCGTTACAGAATTGTAACAGTTTCTTTATTTTGATATGATATCGGGTTGTGTTCAAAACGAGGTTTGTATAATGTCAACAAGAATGGAAAATGTCATGGATAAGAAAAAACAAATTTTGTATTGAAAACTAAAAACTTTTAATATGTTGAACTCTATTAAAAAACGTGCTTTTTTAACTCTGTATGAAATGCACATTAATCAATCAAAAAGTGAATTTTGTAAATTTCTTTTTACGATTTTTTGTAATAAAGATTTCCACCTGTATATGTTTGCATGCTATCTGCTTTGGCGAAAAATGAATTACAGACGTCCGTTGCTGCAAATTAAATTTGCGTCGGCCCAAAAATGGCTCTGGCCTAGTTTTTTAAGGCCAAGATCGTCGTTATTGACCAGCAGGCACTGCACTAGCTGCACGTGATTGTAATCTGTTGAGGTGAGTCTGAATGCGAACATTTATCATTGGTAGTGTTGGCCGCAGATATTGAATTGTTGCGGTGCTAACAATGCGCTTACAAACGCATATGCATATGTGCAATCCAAGTTAAATATTATATAAGCAACTGCAACTGTGTACATGTGTATGAACAATTCACACAAGTTTAAATTATATTAAATACACACGTGCTTTAGAGCAGCGTCTTTAATGCCGGCACGTTGAGCGAGCCTGACTTCCGTTGTTTACGATGCTGGCAGCAAATGACCCTGATTTCTGAAGCCAATAACGCTTAAGTGTACGCAGGCAAAAAATATATACACAAGAATGTATGAAGCTTCTTAAAACCGTTTTGATTTTTGTTTTTTATTTGTGCTACTTAGGTTAGTTCATAACTGTTACAACTTTTTAAAAGAAAGTTTTTTATTATCGCTATAATATTAGGTTATAGAAAATCTACTTTCGACTTTGAGTTGTCACATACGACATGATTAGATGTTGAATAAGAATTTGTTTTCTTGGAAATGTAGATAACTGTTTTGTCTCATTTTTCTCAGCTTAGATGGTCTTGTCTGCCTGTCTGTTTGTGGTTCATGGCAAACTATTGTGAGACATGGCGATATATCTTTAGTCTTCTAGTAAGCTATATCTATATGTAACAGGCTTACTAACTGTTTTGATCTGTCTAGCATATCAGTTTAACTGCGACTAGTGAAAGAACAATTTTTTATTTCATGAACGATTTCATATTAGATTTCAAAAAAACAAATGTTTTGTAGTTTATTCGAATTTTTTCTCAAATATGTTCTATTCGGAAGGTCAGGGTTTAAGACCTGGTTCGACCAACACCCAAAATTATAGAAAATTTATTTTTCAAATTGTGGTCACCCCTCGGCAGTGAATTACAAGCGCTCCAAGTGTATTTCTGACATAAAGTATAAGCTTCTAATAATTATCCAGCTTTTAATAATATGCAGGTCCCACCATTTGTTGGAAAAAACATTATTAAGACGCACGCCACAAATTGGAAGAGAAACTCTGGCGAAGATCGCTTAGTCGGTTATAAAGCGCCAATTATATGATATTTATTAAATGCTTATGTAATCCGATACACAACAGAAAATTTAAGTTAAATATGTTATTTATTAATTATTTGTGATATTCAAGTAAACAAATTTAAGAAACCTGAAAACTCTTTAACTATTATAATTGGGAATTCATGTATACATATTTTTCTTACCTATATAGTTAAATATTTCCAACATATTCGGTTTTCGCTTTTCAATTATGTGCTGTTTTATTTATTTTTTGTTTGAAATTCATCCAACACTTGCACACACTATATCGTAAGCTACACGGCGTATACGCAACTAATATATGCAGTATTTTTACAAATGCGAACCAACCGACCGACCAACTGACACTGCATTTGTGTGAATAACTCTCCGAAATAAGCCCTTTTTATACCACCAAACACACTTCTAGTGCCTGCTATATGCAGTGTAGTACACTCTCTTTCATTCAACTTCTGAGTAAATCCTACATATAAACATTTATTAAGTCTCCACTGAGAAGCGGTAATGATTAGAACTGAAAACAGCATCAAATTCTACAATAAAGTATTTTCATTCCAACTGCATAGAACACTCAGCTGTTATACAATTAGTTAGTTGGCTTTGGCAACTGATTGATTACATTTGGTGTATGTGGTATGCAATAACTGTTTATTGTTTTCGATTTCGTTAGTTGCTACTATGTTGTTGTTCTTATTGTTGTAGCTTTATTTAGCATTCCAAGTGCAGTTTGTTGCATCTTTGTCGAATTTACGATATGCGATTTTTTATCAATCCCTCGACGCTGAGACACACATGCATAGGTTTGTATGCAAGTTTAAATTAAGCGCGAAATGCATTTGTATGTAAATGCACAAACATATCTAGAGGTATTCTCAGATCTGTGATGTCGCTTGCAACTTGTTCATAACTCAAACTCATTTGCCATTTTTTTTTTAGATTGTTTTTAAGCAGATTTATTGCCATGGATAATCCTATTGTTTTCTCTGGTAGCCCGACCCTGCCCATTGATTGAATTACTAAATCATGAGCACAGTTGCCAAATGACATTTTCTTCACTAATTTTCATCTCAACCGTGTTAAATTGTAAAATGAAAATAGAGTTCAGAAAAGGAGCTTCAATAAATAAAAGGAGTTCTTTTGATAACCAAAGAAACTTTTCCCTTAAACGATTGATGGTCTGTTGACTGCCGTCTTGTTGAAAATAAACGTTGGAAAGATTAATATCATCCAAATCCAGGCACAACAAATCATTAATCATCTCTCGATGGCGTAATCCATTCATCGTTATTATTTCTCCAGCCTCATTTTCTAAAAAGTAAGGTCCAATGACATATCATCAAGCGATATAAGATCATAAAACGCACCAAACAGTTACACATGGAGGATGAAGAGGTTTTTCAACAATAAATCTTGGGTTTTCCGAGCCCCAGATGCGATAGTTTTGTTTATTGACGTAGCCACCAATGTGGAAATGGTCATCATCAGTCAGTATGGTTATCGTGGCCCATTTATTACTGGCGTAGTTTTTATTTGTCAAATATCAAACGAATACAATTTCAAAAGTGACATCTACTGGAATAGCACACTATTCAAAAAATCTTATTGGATTTATATACACGTAGAAAATTCTAAAAATCTTACAACTAGCAAGTTTTCGATAAACTCTAAAAGAGATGGCATGTCTTTCTTAACAAATAAAAACCTGAACAAATTTACCAGCTTTTCCAATGCATCATATTCAGATACAAATTGGCAACTTTGGCAACTTCGAATGTATTTTTAACAATCATGATAAATATTTATTTTTGAAGTAATGTATACATGTAATATGTGTTTTTATTTGAATCTCATATTATTGGCATATTTTGTACACACGTATAGCGAAATTCACCTTTTCACATTGTTGAAGGTCAGATAATATCCTTGGGAGTAAATATTTGAATATCACACTTATGTATTATTTCTTTGCTTTTGGCCATTTTAACTGAAATGTCAAGTTGACCTCTAATTGGCTTGGATTGTCATGTGAGTATTGTTTTAGTTAAAATATGGAATTATATTAATCAGCTGCAAAGTCACAGAAATGCCAAGGTGTTTTTGAGGGGAAGATCTCATTAGAAGAAAGGATCGGAGATATGAGCGACAAAGTTAAGCTTGATTAAAGATGTTGAGCGCTCCATCATTAAATATTAAAAAAAAAAATACATAAAGAAGCAAAGGTGTAAAAAAATGTTAATTTACAAAATGAGAAAACAAAAAAATCGTTGTTTAAAAGGGTGATCCATTGCAAGGTTCCTTGTTTTTTAAAGAAAATAAAAAACACCGAAAATTCAAATTTAATGGGTTATGTTTATTGTCATTAGAAAGAAGATTCTGTCAAATGTTGGCGGCGGTTTCGATAACTCGTTCAAGCACTTGCGTGGATTTTAGACTTTACACACAGGAAAAAGTCTAACGGTGCGGTATCACAAGATCTTGGTGGCTAATCGACTGACCCAAAACTTGAAATTATGTGCTCACCGAAGTGTTCTTTCAATAAATCACTTGATTGATGCAATGTGTGGAAATTGGCGCGGTTTTGTTGAAACTAAATGTCGCCGAGATTACGAGGTTGTGAAAATTGAGCGGTTTCAATTCTTGCACAAGCTGTATTTTTTAAGATCTCGACGTAAAATGCGTCTTCCTGTACGCTCTTACCTTCAGTCGCTATATTTTCTTCGCCGCGTGCTGGACCTGGTCTATTTGGCCGAATATTATTCAAAAATTCAATGGGCCCCAAGATGGAATTGAAGTTTCGTAATGAAGTTATAAACGTTTGTAAACGTTGTTCAAGTGTAAGTCTTTATAAGATGAAATGCCAAAAAAACACTGAACAAAAAAAAACATGACAGTAGCTCTACTTGGATAACCCGTTTTAGCTACTCGGCTATACATAAATTTTTTGAAATACAAATTTGGTTGTTTATTTTTTGTAAAAAAAAAAAATATTCAAAAAAAATCTACCAGTGCTACATTGTTTTTGTCATGACTTTTATATCTTAGGGTCGAAACTTCACACCATTGACTAAACAGCGCTATTTAGACTACTTCGGATATTCTGTGTGGAATCAAATTTTAAATTTTACAAAACTTCAGCTGTTGAATAATTTTTCTTTGTATCCCAATCATAACTCCGCATATTCCGTACGTTATGCAGATGTCGTCCCTCGTGTCGGTTAGGTGTGTGGAGGGTATTCATTATTATAAATGCTGTGTATCGTATTTGCGGCTTCCATTAGGTTGAGCTAAACAAAAACCTAGACACTTGCCATTTGCGGGACCGAAGGACCCATCCTAGATATTACCTGTGGCAAAACAATCAAATCGACGAATTTCAGGGTAGAGATTCAAGGTAATGTTTAGTAAATGTTCTCCAGAATTTTGCATACCACCATAAATCAGAAAACTATAGATAATTATTAAATGAACTTATAACGCCATATAAAGCATGTTGATGTAATTTGTTATGAAAAGTGCATATGCTGGACCATCAGGAAATCTCAACACCTCTGAATGTATTTATGGCATGACATAAAATTTCTACGTAATCCAAACATTATGTTGACCGGTGTAGTGCAATAAATAATGTATTAATTCTTGGCACCGGGACTAAATATTTCAAAATAAAGATTGATTTGTGACTTCACCATAGATATGCTTTTAGATTAAGCTGAAGGCTTTATTTGTCATAGTTAGAATAATCCGATTTATGTCAAGTATGCATCTTTTTTGCTGGAAAGCTCTTTGTCACTCCGAAAATAATGTAATTATGCCTCCTTTATAGAAACTCTTGTTCCTACTTCCGGCTGCCCTTAGACCAGTACCGATTTGTTGATTTTGTAACGATTCAAGGAATCACAGTTTGAAATTCCGTCCATGACTTTTTCTTCTCGTTAACTCTTGTGGCACCCATACATCAGCCATTTTCAAAAGGTTTAAGCAGTTTTTGTGCAGTTTACCTTTTGAGCAATCGGAACAGTGCTAACACAACTGTCACACTGGCGATTCACATTATCTTATTCACGTTTTCGACAATTGGTCTTCCAAACCATATTTCTACTGCTATATAACGTAATCTAATAATAATAGCACTTATAGAACGTGAGATACCATCACCAAAAAACCATCTATTGCAAAAAATAATGTTTTACTTTTTACTATATTGATTCTTCTTCTTCTTCTTAGTTGAAGTACCCCAGCCTTTGTTTTTATTGTTTGGCAGCAATTAAATACACCAAGTGAAGACAAGCCACGCTCCATTATAGTTCTGGGCTATATCAAGATCTTTGTTTCCTTAAAATAGTGAAAAGTTTCATTGCCTCCTCTTTAAATTTCTTATGCCGAATAATCGGACGTTTTCATCATCCAGACATCTTATTCATGCCATGACATTTCTCATCCAGCAGAGATAGTTTAACAGAAACTTGTTGTTGCCCCTTTTCACTCGTTCATTGCGCATTACTCGAAAATTTTCGTTCTCGTGCTCGAGCAACTCGAGCTTTTTCAACAAAAATTTTGACTTTTTTCAATAATTTTAAATTTATTTATGCAAAACGTTTCTTTCGGAAAAGTGGTTCAGTGATGGATTAGTTTAAAAAAATCGGGGGTTTGGTTCAAATAAACTCAACAAAAAAATCACGGCCGATATCTCGTATCAAACAACTTGCATCAAACAAGATCCAAAAATTTTAATATTAATTTGATTTGCATATTTTTCAATGCAAAGAAAATGGTTGTTCTTGGGTAGCAAGAAAAAGACTAGACAGAGTGAGAGAGAAAGATTATTATTCGATGATTATTCGTATTAAATTAATTTTTAGATTGACAACTGAGAGAGAGATTTAAGAGGCTAATTATCCGTTTTTAATTTCACTGAAAAAGTCTGCTGGTTTTGAAGAAAACTTATAATTATAATTGTTTCGTTGGCTTAAATAAATAATACTTACATATACATAAATACTGAAAGTATCTAAACGTAGCTATGTTAATTATTTTTTGTGCTGCTTTGATTTATTTAGATGAATTTCATCGTTAACTAGTTGCTGTAATTGCCATATTTTCGTACCTTAAGACCAAAAAGTTCCCGAATTTTTTTTATATTCGCGATTTATTTTATCATGAATTCATTCCAATAGGACAGACGGCCCATAAAGAGTCATAAACAGCCAAAATGGTGTGCCAACAATTTCCGGAAACTTTCATGGCATTAATGCCTCTTCGCACCGAGCTGTAGTTGTGAACGATTTTAAGACCAAAAACTAGTCCAATACCATCGATCAACCAACGTATTCAGCGGATTTGGCCCTATGCAACTTTTTTTGTTTCCAAAACTAAGGTTACCACTCCGTGGAACCTGTTTCGACACGCTTGAGGCCGTAAAAGAAAATTCGCAAAGGGAACTGAGGTCGACTGATTTTAACAGCTGCTGCAAGCCAACTGGTTAACAGATCGCACTTCTATTTGGCATAGTACAATAATTTAGGACTGCACTACAAACTTTACAAAAAAAGAGCAGAAACATATTCAGCGCGGGCAGTTTAAATAATAACTTCCGGAAACTTGCTGGTCTTAATGCGCACTTGACTTATAGCTTACGTCAGATTAACTTGTGACTTTGAAACTGACCTTTAATGTTTTTAAATCCAAACCGAAATTAAATAAATTTGACCCGAAGAAATTCGAAAAAAAACATTATTTTTCTTATCTTCTTCTTAAAATAGTTCAAATTTAAGTTAGTAGTGACGACGACGAAGAGCCAAAAGTAAAAAGTATTGTGCATTGTTAATCGTCTTCTATTTCCCGAAGGAACACTACTTTCGAAAAAATAGTGTTTAGGCCGAGGAAAAAATAATAACATATCATAATTTTTTTCTAAGCACATCACTCAAAATCTTTTAGACTTGTTAAACTAAACTTTTAAAATAAATTTTTCAATAATGTAGATGTGAATGGTTTTTAGTTTTCAAAGTAATTTTGCATTTTTGTGCAATATACGAGTAGCAGAGCATCGAGATTTCATGCTTTGTTGTAGTTTTTGCAACAAAATATAGAATATTAATTCAAATGAAAAATGAAGTAAAATTTTTTAGTTGCGATCGCCCCTCGGCAGGGAATATCGACGTCATCGTGTGCATTAATGACTTGAAATGAAGGCTTCTCATAAAGAGCCGTCAGCTGTTCGGAGACGGCTTAGTATAAACCATAGTTCCCTCCATTTCTTGGAAGAACATCAAGACCCAAAACTACAAATAGGAGAAGGAAAGCGCCAATTATATAAATATATAAACTAGAAACAAAATGCATACCTTGCCTTAACGCTGATACTACTTACATTGAATGTACCTATTTTCCAATGAGTTAGCCACACTTTTATTTATGTTGTCTTAGTTGTTGTTTTTTATTTATTCGTTCATTGCATTTGTTTGTATTCATGTACAAAAATAATTATTTACATGGACGACGAAAATAATATAACATTTTAAGAAATAAATCGTAAATAGCAAAGAATTGATTTCACCAAAAGCAATGCAATGCAAAATGAAGATATTTAAATATTTATACACACATATATTTATATAGTTTCACAAAGTTTCGTATCAAACACAAAGCGCATCGCACGCCTGATGCAATGTAAGATTTGAGTATTTTCGCATTTCCACAACGCATATGCATCCCAATACAGTTGAGCTAAACACGTCTCGCAATTACAGGTTAATATTATTTACAAAGATTTAAAATTAATGCATATACAATTTTTATGCTCGTTTAATACTTAATGATTTAGAAGTGAAAACTTTGATTTTTGTAGCATTAAATTATACTGGATAATTTGTGGCTTGTGACCATTAAAATATTAGCTAAAATTATAAATAGCAAATAATAGAAATTAAATTAAATACAAAATTATAAAAGTTAAAAATAAAAATTTTGATTTTGCGAAGTATTCGATCAGACAGCGTGGACGGCAAGTGTGGCGAACGTGTTGACATTACAAAATCTGAAGCAAGCACTGTGCTTTCGTTTTGTATTCTCGAACCCTCTCGCCACAAGTATTTATCCTGCTTTATCGTCTGCTAGTGAATTTCGATGCCAATGAGTATAATGACTTGAGTAGCTCTAGGGCCCGTTCATCCGAATTCGAGCTGCTGCTTCCACCGCCATTGACGCTAATGTTACTGGACGCAATGGTGTGGGCAGTACTCTCTTCAGGGTCTTCGACACGTATTTCGAATTTCGTCGTACCTTCAATATTGTCACTTGACTGTGTGATAGCAGGCGTTATGGTCGTCGTCCAAGCGCCGGTATCGGTAATTGTGCTGGCGGGCGACGGCGAATTCGTTGTAACCGATTGCCGTAGTGTGGTCTCCGATGAGCGAGTGGTTGTAGTGGCGACTGGCTGCGATACTAAATCGCCTTTGTGGTGCGCTGTTTTACCACTCTCATTCGTTAGTTTACTATCCATGTCGATCAAAGCGTTCAAGAGGTGTTTCCGGGAACGCTCCAATGCTCTACCATTTTGATCGTCGCATGTCTGTATGAGTAATAGCAGTAAGCTGAGCACCTGGCGATTGTGTTCCGCTTGTTGCATAACATTTTTCAGGTGTAACGCCTCCGATTCGTTGAGGCCACCGAAAAGTTTATTAGCAATACGCTGCAATCCATTACTTGAGGGCAACGACTCTTGTGGTAGGTTGTAAGCGTGAAACAGTTCTTGCCATGAGTCGAATTCGGGTGAATGGTCAGAGGCAGTTGGATGGCGTGTGGTCTCCTCGGCGGAACCGACACGTGTGTACTGCTCATTGGTGCGAGCCGTAGTACGATGTAAATCTGACGAAAGCACACTTAGTTGGCCGCGTAATGTTGTGCTTGGTATCGATGTTGTCGTCTCCTTCTTGGCTAAACTCAAAGTACTGGCTGTAGTGGTGCGAGGTTCCTTCATGAGCCCATCATTAATGGTGAGAGGATCGAGGAAATCGGTCTGTGAAATGTGATTCCAAGGATTTTCGGTAGGTTTGTGTTCAGTGTCAGCAAATGCAGCATTCACATTGATATTGTGTGACATAACAAAGGACTGTGTATGCTCGCCATGAAGGAATTCATCATGTTCTCCTGAATCACCGATAGGCGATGCCAAATCTGGTGAAAATTGCTGTCTCAATTGTTGCCCACGGCCTCCACCAAATCTTGGCCTATATGTTGTAGTATCGGGAGCTTCTGTGGTGCTTAAGAAATCGTTTGACGGTGTTGAGAAATCAAAGTTATTATTAATCTCAGCCGCAATGCTTGAGGCTGTAGCGGGTGACTCAGTTATTGTCGTTGGCTGTGTTGGAAGATAGGTGGCAGCTGTGCCTGATCTAAACAGTGATCTGTCGGTAACTGTAACTGGCTCAAAATTCGGTTTTCCACTCACTACTGTAGGCTCGGTTGGTCTGGCAGCCTCAAGTTGTGCGCGAAATGTTTTTGGATCTTCTAAGTAACTGGAAATTGCTTCTGAAAATACGTGAGCAATTTTACGCGAGTCTGGCTCTTCCGCCAATTTGCTTATGGTGGCACCTGTGGAACCTATTTGTGGGAATAAGCTAAGCGGATCATTCACTCCGTTATTTTTCTGGCTGAGCATACTCTCTGTAGTCTGTTTTCCTCCAGCGCCCTCTAATCCAAACAGATTTGAGTATTGATTAACTGTACGTTCACTTAGTAGACTGGCGCGTATGTCATCTGACTTTTTGCTCACGCCAATACTGGAAATGGTGGTGGAGTCAGCTGATTGTTCCGCTGCCTTTATTGGTTTCGTCGAGTATTTTAGTGTAGAAAACGTTGTTATAGGAATATTTCTGTCGGTGCTTGATACATCTTTATTTTCAACTGAGCTGGTCACCGAGTTACTTGACGCTGCATTTTGTTCTCCTGCAAAGTATTTCGCCAGTGACACCAAAGCATCAGGACCCGAAGAGGGTGGGATATCCAAGCCTTCGCGTGCTTGTCCTTGGAATTTTGTCTGATCAACATCATCGAACTTAGTCTTTAGCATGTTAATTGTTTTGATCATTTCTTGTACATTACGTGTTACCGAATCATCAGCATCGGTGATTGGTTGGGGGGCAAAGAGGAAATCTTCGCCATCAGCATTTAATGTTGCTTTCGGTCTAGCTGCATTACGTGGTAAATATGTAGGACCTGTAGGTGCAGCAGTGGTGGTGGTAGTTTTGAGATCGGCAGAGTCCGGACGCTTCCTTGAACGTTGGACCGGTACATCAACATCGACTGATGCCTTCGACGAAACAGTGGTTCTATGTTTTTCACCCGATGAATCGTGGTTATAACGCATACCAATAACAAGTGGTCGAATTGTTGTTATGGAGGGCGAATTAGTGGTGGTTTCCTGTGAACTTCCCCTTCGTTTGGTAGCGGCCGCTGGTTCCGTTCCAACATTATGGCGATTTGGATTAGGTGTAGATGCAACTATATTTGAACCAACAACTGGTGATCCCTTAATGTAAAATCCTTTGCCCTCGGTTGTTTTAGACTTTGCCACTGTAGGTACTGTTGGTGTATAGAACGGCGTGCTCCGAGTTGTATCGAGTCGTCTGGCAGTTGAATATGTACCAAGCGAGTGAAATGGTGTAGTATTTGGTATACGTGATTCAACAAAACGGGTTGAGTATCTTGGCTCATTAGAGTCCAGATCTTCAGCTGTGATGGATGAACTAGCACGAGATTTAGCGCGGCCTTCGACCGGAACTACTTGTCGCGACGGCTTCTCAATCGACGAAGGTTTCTTATTTAATTCTCGACTTTCAGAAGTTACTTCTCTAGATTCCGCTGAGCTGAGTTGGGGCTTATTGTCTTCACGATAGCGTTGTTGACCGCGTTTACCATCTCGTGCCCGTTCCGAAGATTCTTTCTGATAGGTATAGCCACTTCGTGCCGAAGGTGTGCTATCGGTGTTATTGTTTTCACGATTACTATTGCTATTTCCGTTCTTATTTACATTTACCTTTCCTTTACTGCTCGCATTTCCATTACCGTTAGTTTTGCTATTTCCATTACCATTTCTATTTCCATTGTCATTATTATTATTGTCGCCATTGTCTTTTTTATTACCATCTACACTGTTGTTGCTATTTCCACGTCGCCCATCTACATAAGCGCTATTACGACCAGTGGTTCTACCACGAGCCTCTGCCGGCTTTGTATCGACAGCGTCTACATTCGCTTTTTCATATCCAAAACTATTGCGCCTTCTTCCATCTATAAAAGATCCACTCTCAGCGGTAATTTGCGTCTCATCATTATTATTATTATTGTCGATATTCGCCGGTATCTGTGTCTTTTCTCCTTTTAATTGCTTTTCTCCTGATATATCTTCAAAATCAACAGTCTCTAGAGACGGCTCCTCATTCGAATCGAAGCGTCGCTCAGGTTTAGCTGATTGTCGTGGACGTGGCACTTGGTTAGTCACTTTGGGTTTTATGTTTAAACCACCACCCACAATATTAAATCCCTGAACCGGTACAGAGGGACGTATACGTTGTACGCGCTGTTTGTTGAGTATCTCTGCACTATCTGCGTAGTAGCCGGGTGAGCCGAGACAATTCACTTTGAACCACCAATCGCAAGTAAGTTCACTCTGCTGGAAAATAGTGCCATTCGGACATAGGAACGATATCTTCCGACCCTCTTCACATATGTGAAATACCTGCCGACGAAGAGAAATGTGTACAATTTGTCTAATTAATAATACTTAGAATGTAAACGCATATATTTACCTGGCAGTCCGTCTCCATGTCTGCAAAGTAGCCATTACCAAAAGAACGACAACTGAATGTCGTTTTCGGTATACGTGGATAAATAGGGAAATCGATTCCAGGTCTGCCGACGACACCTTGATACACCTCATAGTCGACATCCTCGTCGGAAGCGCGCTTCTTTAGGTGGTGCTTGTGATCATCACAATCCGTGTGTGTCTCATAATGTTCTTCTTCGAACTGAGCGGCGCCGGTTTGTTTGGCTAAGACACGAGCTGGCGTATTATCATTCTGCTAATGAGAATGAAGAGAATAAGAGTGTTTATCTATCAGTCATACACCTAGTTAAGCTATAAGAGTATAAAAAGAGGTTATAAATGAGTGTGTTTATGTAGTTATGAATGTTTTGTATGGAACGAGAGTATGAAGAGAGTATGTATGATTCATAGGAATAATTGTACGTATTAGCATATATGTATGTATGTTTGTAATTGTAAAATCCCCTTGTATTGACTAAGGCTTACACTGGATTCGGCACTGCTGATAGTGAAGAGTGCACCGAGAAGTAAAACTGAAAGTGAAGAAGAGAATTACAGTAAATTAAACGTATTCACAGCTTTTATTTATAGAAAAGAGTTATTTAGTAATACAAATATTTTGTTTAATCTTTATAAGAAATGATAGCTCCATAACATAGGTAATAGGTATTCATAAATTAAATGAATATTTTGTTGCAATATTATATATGTATATACAATTTTATTAATGAAGGGCACTGAACGTGTATTTACTTTACTTATAATACGATGTAATTGCATTAATGAGTAAAGTAATTTTTCAATGCAATTTATATAAATTATAAATATTTGTTTCAATATAAAACGTTATTGGCAGTACACAGTATTTCCCCATGAATATTTTAATAAATTCATCAAAAATTTGTCACGCAGTTGGACGCATCGGAGTTGTTGATTGTTATTTTTAAAATAAAGTTATTACTTTTTGTTGGTTTCTTCTTTTTATTTAATCAATTCAATCGAAAGCTTTGGTGTTGTTGAAATTCTCACAAGAGAGGGTCAATGCAAAATCACAAATTATTAATTACGAAATAAGTTATTTTATGTGCAAACAAATGTTAACCTTATGCGGTGGGTCGTAGGTCAAGTTTGTTAAATTCAATTAAAGAAATTATAATTGTATTGTAATCCACTGTATGTACATATATTACATATATAAAAATTTGCCTCTATGCTTCATGGATGGCTTGCCAAATATTTGTTCGTTCTTTTTTGATCTTTGAGGTAGAAAATACTCTTCTGATTTTGAGTTGTACGAGGAGTGTTTGAAATATGTCCTATAAATAGATATATATGTATGTTACTTAATGAGAGTCCCAAATTCAAAGCAAATTTTGAACTTGCCGCCATTTAAACAAATGCGTCCACTGAGTATCTCTTTTCGGCGACTGGACGAACCATTGAATTCACTTTCGTATTTATTTTAGAGATACATACATATGCATGCGCTGTACACGCTGAAAGTTCTTTAAAGAATTAAATGCTGAAATGTTGCTTTTATAGACAACTGAACCTAGAATACCCTGGAAATTTTAATTTTTAGAACTAAGTGCGCCAATTTGAAATTATTTAAATTATCAACATATCTAGATAGATACTTTGCTTTTCTAACGTTCGAAAATCCTTTTTATTATTAGGGAATCCATAAGTCGTCTTTTGTGTGCTTTTTTTTAATTAAATTTAATCCATTAAAAATAAATACAAGGATTTTCTCCGGATACATTTGTGTGTAATGCAACCGAAGAAAATATAATTTTTTTTATACTTTTCACGTGCATGAAATGGTGTATTAATCAGAAGGATAAGTTGGTTAGTTGGGTGAAGTGATTGCTTCGGCAGTTTATTGAGGCCTCCAAAGAGCTGAATGTTATGCGATTGAGAATCCTAATGAACTACACCCTCTAAACAAATCAATGTGCGGAGTTTCTTTTCTTTTAAGCACGATAAGGTCATGAGACCTTATTTTGTCTACATTGGCCTGGTCACATTACACAAATTGAGACTTACCCAGCTTAATTTAATGCATGAAGAACTTTCTTATAGTGAGATTACAAGTGGAGAGTGTCATGCCTACATGATGGCGGACGTAGAAGGAGAATGCCCTTCCTTGCGAGCTCGTCCGCCATATCTTTATCCGATATGTTATGTGTTCAGAAACCCGTACCAAGTTCAAAGACAAATATCTAGGGATCACGTTAAGTGATGTGTTGTAGCTTTGCTCTTACAGAATCCAGGGCTCTTAATACGATTTTGTGAGAGCATCATTGAGCTAAGACTATTGAAAGCCTTATGTATAGCTGCCAATTCTGTCTGAAAACACTACAGTGATCCGGTAAGAAAAAGGACCAAGATTTCTTGAGTTAACTCCGCTACTGACCCTGCTATCTTGTTTTGTACCCATCCATATAAAACATGATTTTTTATATTATCATATTAAATTGGTTTTGATCCGGGATAGCTGCTTTGAAATCTGTCGTGAAATCAGTGAACGGTATGCAGTAATCCGTTCGAATGTTCGCGGCTTATTACTTTCCATTCGGACACCTTTGCAGCCTTAGTGCGGCGCAAGCCGCATTATCCAGTTTGCAGTATAATGTCAAAAGGGAAGTAGATCTAATATTCTCAGCTTCAGTTTATCATCACATCAGATATGGTCAGATAGAGGTATAAAGACTTCGTCATTGTCGAAAGAAGCTATTTTTTTTTTTGGAAATGGATGAACATATGTATGAATTAAATTTTTCTTGAAAGGGATTAAATTTGAAAAAAAAAAACTGTCAATATTGAATAGCTCAATCAGCCACCATCACTGGAAGCCAAAAAATTGTCGAAAGTCATAGACGTTGCTGTCAACGGGGAAATGAATGTCATCATTTACATATACTCGTACATACTATTAAACAAGTTTATAATTTTCGTCAATAAATTTAAAAAATTTAGGTATTTTTTTCAAATTCTATCAGTAACCGTAGAGCCAAGGCAGTTTGTTTACTTGACGCTCAGCGCTCTAAGTTATAATAAAGCAATCTTTAATGATAGTTTTTAATAAATAACGTCTTTAAGGGCTTTCAAAAAACTCAATTTTTTATCATTTTGTATAAAAGCACAAAGCGTCAGGAATATCTTCCCCAAATTTCAAGTCGATCGAGACGAAACTGTAGAAATTAGAGAGTTTTTTAACCCTCCGTCTTTGTCATGACTTGACCGATGATAGAACTTAACTTAAAATCACTTTATCGAAATCGTATTAAAACGATCGAGTTCAAATTTTCCACGCTTCTTATAAGCATGTTTTTGTAGTCCCTGAACGAAGAATTTATTTTATCCTTGATTTCAACTCATTTTACTAGCCAATATGTGGCCTATTTTATGCGAAAATTACGTTTTTTATAAAAAACGCTACAAAAAATTAAATTTTTAATCTTTCTTCTTTAAGGGACGAAGAAAATTCACCTACTTTAAGAAAAAATTTGGGTTTTTGATTTCAGATAAAAATTGAAAAAGGTTATCATAACTACCGCGAAAGCAATTTCTTGTGGACGGTTTACTGCACGACACTACCAGCGCCTTAACTTATACTATTTTTCATTCAAATTTTCATTAAATTTTGTCCACATATTGTACTTTTATATGTAAATAAAATTAATTGTATACTTTTTACAAAAAAAAAATTAAGGAAAATAAGCTTTTTTTGGCCTTCAAGACCTATGTAACCCCTTAAACTACATTAATGAAATGTGAAGAATTCAGTCAATAATGTATTGAATTAATATTCTTATATTTCGTACAGGTTATTTAAGGAAGATAAATTAAAAATAAATATCGTATTTCAGTAAGTGTTAAATGATAAAATATTGTCTTCAACTTACTGAAAAATAAAAGTGCGCTTGCGCAGTATTGTGTATCCATTTTAAAGACGAAAAAGTCTGAAATAAAAAATTAAATGTTGAAGCTTGATTAATAAATATGTAAATATGTATGTCAATATATATTGAAAAATCAAGGCTTCTGTGGGTATAAACAGACGTTGTATTTAATATAATAATAATAATACAGTTCGAATAATTTTTCGACTTCGAAAATAAATTTAAAAAAATCCGTCTAAAATAGCATTTTTCATAAAATCCTTTTTAGTAAAAAATTTGCGTTTCAGGTGCTCAACAGTTTAAGATTTATCAGTATGAACACGGTTTTTCGCCTAACCCTACGGTGTCAAGACACCGCCAACGCGACCAATGAGGTCGTGAAATTTCATTCGCAATAGCCTTAATGCCTCGCTTGTATTGTGTGGCAATTATTTTAATAATCTCGGAGCACCAAATGCGACAATGTTGTGGTCGTTTTAAAAATATTAACGCCCTGTGATCCAATTTCATGAATGTCACACCTTTAACCAAAATAAAACATGTTTGGCCTGATGGTATAATTTGACACAGGTCAAAATACCGCCGTGTACTTTTGAAACTTCGAAACGGCTAACCCTATATTTAGGTGAAGTAAAAAGAAATCCATTATTTTTGCTTAAAATTGAATGGTTTAATTTTTTTTTTCGTATCCAGCTCTATTCAAATGATTCCTAACGGTTTGTTGAGCAATCTTTAGCTCTTGGGCAATCGAAACAGTGCTTACATGACGGTCGGACTCGACAATATCTATAATTTAATCGACATTTTCGACAATTGGCCAAAACCAAAATTGTTCATGATCAACTGTAACAGTATCAGACCATAAACACTATTCAAATTTTCAGCCGCTTGGCTTGCGTTTTCGCCCTTATTGAAGAAAAACTGTAACATATAACGTATTTTCTCTATAGCAGTACCCGGCTTTGACGCATGCTCAAACGAAACTGTATCAACGAATCACAAAACTGTCGGAAAAGCTTTTTTTTAGCACGAAATTTCTATTGAAAAAACTTTGTGTACTAGGATCAACCGTTATATGTAAAATGTGTATCTTAGAATAAAAACCTGAATTTCAATTTTCATAGACCTCGGCAAAATTAATTATTATTTTTTCATTCGATACTTGTATAATAAATAATAATAAATAATGTAAAGTTGTACGAAAACGATCGTATCAGCAATAGCTTTGTAAGTGCACGCCTTCAGCAACTCAAAGTTATAACCGTCGTTTTTAACGTTTTTCGCTTTTCTTACCCATTTAATTCACCGATTTTCACTCTTCCTACACTTTAAGTGTGAAAGCGGAAAAACGTGCTGAAGACGCGCTTTAATCTCAGATAAATGTACTCGTATAAGCGAGTTTACCTATAATAGATAAGAAAATACAGTTGTCCCACGTCTCTATACCAAGTGCTGAACAACTGTAAAATTTTCAGAAAAAAACGCAATAAAAAGATTAAAATGCACATGGGCTAAAAAAAAATTCGCTAAGTTGTATGACCGACGCGTCGCTGCGATCGCACATTGTACATATGGACACACACATTTTGCCACATTCGATGCAACATCAACGTCAATTCGCTTACTTGCCACATTTGGTCAATATACTCAAGGGTTATGCACCGTCAAAGCTATTTGTTGTTTTTTCTGTTTTAAATATATTTTCATTTCATGTGCTTGCGATGAGCATTACCTAACAAACGCTTCGAAGTACAATATTTATTCAGTTTTGTTGCATTTTGAAGGTGCGCCAAGCCTCACAAAACTGGTAATGAAGGACGTTCGCATAGGCAGGTAGTATATTTCGAACTGGAAGCGCAGCTTATATAATGTGGTGACATTATTATGTTGTACCCACATATATCACAACAAGTGAGATACATATATCTACGAGTATAACTTTGAATATGCATACAAATACATATAATATATTGGAGTTATTATATCATATCAAAAAAACTTTTATATATTCAATTCTTAAATAAGATATAAACATATAGCTCTGGTCTGGCGGCGGTAAATGTTAGATGTAAAATTTATGCGAATATTTGTATGCAAATTAATATTCCTGTTTTCGAGAAGCTTGAAATACGCCGTCGAATTAAAGCACTAAGGATAAAGTCCTATCATTGGGTTTACTTTATCTGTAAAATCACGCTTTACGATTATACCCAGATGAGAAAGAGAATATGTGCGTATTAAAAATTTTGACGAGATAAGAAGAGGCAACAGAAATTAATTACAAATTTTTCAAACCTAATATTTACACACAAATTGTTTTGACTTACCTTCGAAAATAAAATCACATAATGTGTTAACAGTCGAGTATAATTAGATTCATAGTATACTAAACTAAAAACTTGGTGAAAAAAATCCGAAATTAAATTTTAATAACCCTTTTTATGGCGTATTTTTAAAATAATTTATTTCGAGTGAGGTTCTTTTGCCATTAAGGCAATATCATCTAGAGTTGCTTAGCAATGTTTTAGCTGTTAAGGCCTTCACAACTGATATTTAAAAAAAATATTTCTAAGACGTGTTGAAGATATGCTTAAATTTTGTAGTCTTTAAAACTAGAAAATGGATTACTTCCACTCTAAAAGCTGTCGTTAATGTTAAATCGTTTACAGATAATGTTAAACGTTAAAGTTGAACTTTACAGTTAAATCATAGAAGCAGCAGTTTTGAAATTAATATTAGCGTAGAGTTTGTGCCGTTTCAACGTTAACAATTTCATTTCGTTGCGATAACATGGCGCCGAAACGAAACGATTTAATTTCGTTGAGCTAATTTTTCTTGTTAGCGAAACGAAATGATATCGTTATTTAAAATAAAAATGTTCCCTCGAAGTTATAGGCGTGGCAAAAATTGAGATTGTAATGAAGGCAGCGCCATAAAATAAATCATAATGGTAAGTACATTTCACTGGAAAGCTTTGTAATTGTTGTCTCTGATCTTAAATTCTTGTTATAAAGCATATTTTTTAAAGACTTGTTTTCTCTATTCAAAAAAATATAATATTATTTGTGGCATATTCCCTAAATAATATTGAAAGAAAAGAAAGAAAGTTACTTTTATGAATTTTTGTTCTGGACAGAGCCTCAAAATATTAAGAAGATAGAAATATGTATATATTCGCTGTTTAGTCCCAAATTAAATTGGAAAGGCGCTGTTCATTTTTGTTACCATTTTGAAACCAAATGATTTGACTCATATGGTATGGTGACAGATCTATTATTTGTTTCTTTACTGGAGTAGACACTGCTTACGCGAGTATAGACGAATTTCTTGATTCACTGAACTAGGTCAGGCGCACAAGTATATCGCGTACTAGCATCTTTCCATCGACTGTGTTATGCGCCTTTCCCAACTCGTAGAGAACCATAAAACTTAAGCCAAACCTTTCTCTCGAGAACTCCTAACGCTGACTCATCAGATTTTGTCATCGTCCATGTCACCTCACCATATAGCAGGACGGGCACGATGACTTGTAGAGTTTGGTCTTTGTTCGTCGAGAGAGGACTTTATTTTTAAATTGCCTACTCCGTTCTAAATAGCACCTTTTGGCAGGAGTAATTCTGCGCTGGATTACCAGGCTGCCTTTTTTGTTGGTAGTACTACTGCTTAAAAGATACATAACCTTATCTGCGACTTCAAAGTTATGACTGTGACGTGGGAGCCGATGATGATGATGACAGATGCATATCCTTCGCTTCCTTAACCAGTCTAGAGATTTTGGCGTTGCTTAACGTCAGTTTACAGAGCAGTAGAAGTTTTGCGGGCTAAGAGATTTCATGTTCTAGATCTTCCATTTAGAAATAAACTTCGTTGTATTAAATTATTTATTTTGATAGGACAAAAATTGTTAATTATCCTTGTTATATAGTTTTTTAGATCATTACTGGAGATCAATAAAATAAGTTAATTTATAATTGCGTCATATAATTTGCTTAATATTTTTGGACGATAAATAGATCGTAAATAAAAATGTATTATTTTAAAAAAAGTTTTGCGGGAATATAATATTTATATTCCAAAATCATCTATTATAAGTCACAAATGTTTATGTGAATATTAAGCTTTTACACTGCTTTTACGGTATACTTAGGCTCAAGCAATTTTGATTTATAAAAATCAGATTATAATTACCAAAAAATAAAACTTTAAAAAATCAGTTCCATTATAAAGGTTAGCTGCTATTCATAAAGTTCATAAGGGGGAAAAGGTTAAAGTCGTTAAATCCGAAAACAGGAACAAAAGAAGTGGAGGAGAAATTGGAAGACAACAGCTAAGAAATGTCTACAAATGTATAAAAAACACTGAATACGTATAAAATACATTAAAGCAAATGACTCGCAAAATGTTAACAAAATTTTAATTATAAAAAAAGAAGTGCCGCAAAAACGTGCATGAAAGTGAACTTTTAGATTAGCAAGTCATAGTGTAATATTAGCTAGAGATACTGAAACGCGATATAGAAAAAACTGTCTAAAAACAACTTTGGTCGAAGGTTTTTTGCTGATTCACAATACAGACGCGTCACTATGTATCGCAACAGCTGGTTAAAGCTCTCCATAGTAGAAGCTGAAGAAGTAGCGATGCATGTAATAATAAACAGTAGGAAGTAGATGCAAAAGTGTTTAGTTTGTGTGGTCGTACAGGCAGCTTTTGAATGAACAGGTGCTTACCTGACAGACGTCGTAACAGACATAGCAACAAATCGGAATTTTTACTCAACGGGCAAATCGTACGCGACATTTTAATATGCATGTAAAAAAGTATTGAGAGTTTTTATAAATTTTTCATCGTCTTCTCGCTTTTGAAACCTAAAAAAATTTCGTTTTTAAGGGTAAAGTGGATGTAATTGAAGTTTAAAAAATAAATAAATAAATAAATACAACAGCCATTGTCAACACCTAACGCGGTCATATGTTGTATGCCAGCAGACCATTTGTGGTTGTTGTAGTTGCATTTTTAATGAACTACTTCCGTATGAAAAAAGGCGAAGAAGAAAGTTTAAT